GCAATCTTGTTTGTTTTCTTCAGCCGCCCTCTACCAGTGAGCAGGTGGAGCCCCGAGGCTGACTTGTTTGCCCACGGTCACAGGCCCAGTCAAAATAATAGAGACAGGAGGGCTGTGAATGCACTGCTCCCACCACCTGCAGGTAGTGGGGCAGCAAACTACCCTGGGGCTGGAGCATCGCCACCACAGACAGCGAGAGCAGTGACCCAGGAACCCCGAAAGCCTCATTTCAAAGTAATTGCCCTTGGACTTCGAGGGAGTTACTCACCAAGAATGGCTCGGACTCGGCCCTCAGCTCTCTTCACTGACCTGTCTCCTGCTGCCCACCTGTCTGTCAGGAATGGCTACCCGCATCGTCCCCACACTCAGGGGCTGTGAGGACTCAGCTCAGGTGCCCATGGCACCCCAAAGGGAGAACTCTCCACACTTGAAGCACTTGCTGGGGAGGGCCGCTGTGGAGACCACTTAAGAAGCCAGCAGACTCCCTCCTGTACAGTCGGCCCAGACCTGGGGCCCTGGTGCGAGGTCCTTGGCTCTGCTGACCGGCAGGCCCATAAGTGCACCTCTGCTCTGCAGACACAGCCCCGGTCACGACTTTTCAGCTTTGTGATGGTGCAAATGACCTCCACGACCACAGTGCTCTTCTCTCTCCCAACCATCCACTGTCACTAAGCAACACCAGCTGTGCTGAAGAGCGGCTGGTGGCAGGCCGAGGCCTGTGTGCTGACCAGAGCAGGATTCAGCACCCAGAGCTGCGGTGTTCTGTGCGTGAGGGGCATCCGACGCCTTGTGACGCAGTGCATTTTCAGGTTCGGACAGTTTAGTCCTCTAGCCTGTCTGTACAAATGACCACAGCTCACACCTGGCACCCTCAGTCTCTTTCACGGCTTCCCAAAGGCTGGGGAGTTACAAACGTAAGTACCTCTTCCACGAGACATCAGCAGCAGCTTCACCACTGAGTCTTGGTAAGTATCAGACATGTGACTTCCGGGTGAAAGAGTCCCCAGAAACATACAATCAATTCAGCCATCAGCAGCCGTTCACCCTCAAAGTAAGTAAAAATAGCAGTGGGGAATGGTGTCAGACTTGAGACACGGCCCCCTCCTGGTAGCCCTTTAACCTCCTGGTAACCCTATCATTTAACACTTAGGGACCAGTGTGACTGTCACCTGGCTCCCTCTTGCCTGGCACACAGCAGCCCCTCTCACAGGTACGGTCCAGGTCCAAGGTGTCCATCGACATCCTCGCTTGCCTGCCTCTGCATCCAGCCAGGGCGTGCAGAGAACGGCAACCACTACTGTACCACCCCCCAGCAAGGTCTCCCTGGGGATGGGTGGGGCTGTGGTCACCACACCCCCACAAGAGGGACACAAGCCTTTCATTTGATTCTTGGGAAGTTTATTTGAAAATGATGAAACCTATCAATACCAACTGTCCACTGGAAAGGAAGATCCCACCTCTTCTTGACTGTCTGCAGCCACAAGAGCCCGATGTGGGCAGGGACTGAGCCACCAGCACACAATGCCCCAACTACACAGGTGTCTTTGGGGGCTTATTCTAAAGCTACCCCAGTCTCAGCCAAAAGCGGGCCCTTCCAAGACACCATCATGCCAGTGCACTTGGGGCTGAACATGTGAATTAACCATCTTACCCAAGCTCGTCCTTTTGTGTCTTTCCCAGCCAAACCTGTCCAACTTGAAGTATGCTTCTGTATCACAACTTGTGAGACACAGTAATAAACTCAGAAGCAACAAAACTGACAGCCCTATAAGTAACACAGCACCCTACTGCACAGCCAGCTGGCACTCCAGCTGGAAGCTTCCTTCTCCAGAAAGAACAGTCATGAGCCCAGGCATCTGGGCCTGGCAGCCTGCACCCGCCCAGCCCTGAGTCCTCTCCAGTCCCTCCAGCAGGACAATGTGCTGTCAGGGAGCACTTGCTTGCTGGAGTGACAGAAAAGACACCTGGAGACTGGGCATCAGTGTAAGAAGTCACCAACCCTCCAATGGTATCTATGGTTACACAGGGGACAAAAGAAATCAGCAGTTTCCATCAGCTTCAGGTGCCAATTTTCCAGTCAACTTTGAACAAGAACTCTGGAACGAAGCCACAACTGCTGAGCAGCTCAAGGCCCAGGCTCAGGCCCACACATCTCTCGGGAGCTGCCCTGACCCAGCCCAGGACTGAAACTAGTGGCTGCACCCTAAACGCAACTGCACCCATCACGGCCACTGCCTTCCTCCTAGAGCAGCGACGAGGGAGGACCCCAACAACAGGACACATGGGGTCGGCGTCTGCACCACAACAGGCCGCGAGGCACGAGGCTTCTCTGAGACGCCTAAGCCATACTCTCTGAGGTTTCCATGAGACATGGCTTCCAGAAGTTGGCCCTGGCCCAAGTAGTTCAATATAAATGTCACATTCCAGGGAACCTTCACCTCCTTGATGCTGAACACTGGGTCATTTACCACTCATGGAAAAGGCTCGATGAGAGGGCCTCGGGGGAGGAGACGACTGCAGAGCCGACAGGTGGCAAAGGGCAGAGGCCTTGGGCCAGGAGCCAGCACCCTGGGAGGGGCCACTGGGGAATCCCTGCCTCACCACACCTGCCCAGTGCAACCAGCACTTGGGACTTGTTAAAGCCTCCAACTCTCCCTAGGACTGGGCATGGCCACTCTACGTGAGCCCATGGCAGACCCACTGGTCACACAGCACCTGCCCTCACCCTGCGTGCCCAAGGTCCGGCCTCCAGAGGTGTCACCACCCCTAGGCCCCAGCCCTCCTGTCCTGCCTGTTGTGGCCCCATCTCCCCCCAGTCAGGGGAGAAAAGCCAGTGGATCTACAACTCCAGAAAAGCAATGATGGGCTGGGGATGTAGCTCAGTGGCATAGCGCCTGCCTGGCAAGTGTGAGGCCCTGCGTTTGATTCCTGGTACCCCAAAAAAGAAAAAAGAAAAGCAATGATGAAAGTGTCCTCAAGGGCTTTCACAATTCAGGAAAACATACTCTTACTCCAAACATTCCCCCTAAACCCAGATGAGCCTTGTGCTGTCAGTTTCAGGAAATCAGACACCAATACTTACACCAGGACAAGGAAGACCCAAGGCTGCGTCAGGCTGGGGGACAGCCCCAGACCACGGACGCTGTCCTTGAGGGGGCTCACCACCCCTAGGAATGGGCCTTCGCCTCTTGGCCCAGCAGGAATGCCAAGATGAGCAGGGTATTTTGTGCCTTTTGAAACATCACTCCGTTGCACAATTATCTGGTCAGTTTGAAAAACGAAGCCATTATGAGCAGAGTAACTTAGTAAGTACAAGATGCAGCCAAATGATAAAATGAAAACAGAATTTCTACAAAAACAAGAAAGGATAAGCCAAATAGGTTCACCAGAGAAAGGCAGCTTCCTAGGAACATGTACTGTTTAAAATCAGAAAGCTGAGTTTGCTTTGAAGAAGGAGAGGGTGCCTCTCCTCCTGGAGGCTGTTGGCCTCCACTTAAGGGCTGGCTTTAACTTGAAGTCCCACACATATGACTGATAATGAGTCGGGTGGGGGGAAGAAAATAGGAGATCTTGTCAGGGAAAGAATCAGGTCACTTATGAACTATTACTTGACATAAAAAGTGATTGTGCGGCAGTTCTGTTTAGTTTGCAGCAAGGCTGCGTAAGAGCAAGAGTGGAGCCACAAACGGGCAGAGCGTCTGGACCACCGTGGAGGAGGCGACAGCCACCAGCAGCAGACTGCTACGGGGTGCAGGCTGGCTCCTTTCGGTATGGCAGCCCTTCTGGACACCCCGCCTGCAGCTGCAGCCCTGGAACCTGCACAACCCAGGGAACTCTGGCCTCGGGGAGGCTTGGGTGCTCTTCTACAATTCTCCGCATAAAGGTAAGATAAAATCCTGACTGTACCCTAAAATTCCAAATAGGAATTGTTCAGAGTACAAAGGGAACCTGAAAGGGAAGGAACTTCACTTTTCTTCTGCATTGAAGTCCATGTCTGTCCTTACGATGATAAAATTCCACTACCAGAGTAAGTACAAATCGCCACACTCAAAAACAAAGACCACTGTGCAGGAGGCAGGGCCTCAGGCGCCCAGATGACCATGCAGATGGAAGTGACTTGTCACCAAGAGGCCACAGCTGCAGTAGGGACACTGTGGTGCTCTAGTTTTGTGGCGCTGTCTCCTTCCAAAGCAGTGACCTGGTGTTTACACCCTAACCCACAGCACTGCCTGATGGAACTGGAAGCTCTCTAACTAAGAGTCCCTAATCCCACAAGTCCCTCTGGCAGGCACCTCCTCCCAGCGCTCAAGAGCACCTTCGCTCCTAATCCAGCATGTTCTTGGCAGGACTGACAAGAGGGGCAGGGCTGGCCAGAACATGGGGCAGACATACACTCCGGCCTCAAAGGAGTGTGGCTATCTGGACAGCAGGCAAGCTTGGGAAGGTGGTTCTCTGCGCCAAGCTCCTGAGCTATTTCTGTGAAACAGGAAGCCCACCCAGAGCCTCTGACCAAGCGGAGGGGAAGCACTCTTCATGAGAAACCATGCCTGGCAGAGGAGGTCAGGAAAACACAGCTCCTCACTCAGGAACGCTCCCCTCATGCTCCCTGGGGCCTCGAGGTGGATGCCTCACGGGTATGGAGTCTCACAGGGTGTATGCAGTGAATGTCTGGGCTGCTCTTCTCCTCTCTGAAGAAAGGCAAGACGCGTGAGTCTGAGCAATAAGCAGGAGTAAACCTACTGTGTGCTCACACACAGACGCGGTACCAACACCATTGTCAACCACTCTCATGAAAATGCACAAAAAAGAGTGACACACTCAAGGGAAGTTAGTTTCCTCTACCAGGCACAAACGAACATCAAATCCCACACAGCCGGGGCCGCTCTGGCCCCTCTTGGCCTGGGTGACAGGGCCTAGGAAGGGCCCTGTCTTCAGCGAGAGCAAGGCCGGGCGCCAAGGTGCTCACAGCACGTGTGATGTGTGGACAGGTGAGGACTTACCTGTCCATCCTGGCCCACATGATGGATCTGTAGATTGCCCTGCAAATGAGCAGAAGAGGAGACAATCAAGAGCTAACAACGACCCCATGACGTGGTGAGACAAAGAACTTTCCTTTGCCCTTCAGGAACAAATACAAAACCACTATTCTACAAAACTTCAATGCCTTGTAGCAGTAAAACTACAAAACGTTTTAAGATGAGTTTGTAAGTATTATTTTTCTTATAAAACCAAAACACCCAACATGATGCTCATTTTCTCTACGCTCAACCGAAATACGATTTGGTAAAAATTTTTATTTGAAACAACTTCAGCTTCACGAGGTGCCTGAGGAAGGGCAGCGAGGCCGCTGCTTGGCCTGCGGCTAAGGTACACCGCGCAGCCTCGCGAGCGTCATATGCACAGCAGTGAGCACAGCACAGCCACAGGACGCGCTGGCAAGTCCCTCCTGCTTTGCAGAGAAGACAGTCACTCTAGGTGTGGGAGACTCTGCTAAATGTCTTGTTTCAGCAGAACAGCTTTACGCGAACAAGGACATACGGGGCTGTGATAAGGAGTGTGGCAGCAGGCAGCAACTGATCACAAAGTGACCACTAATATGCAAGCAATTTCTTCTAATTTACTGTGCTCGATGCTTAATGGAGATAAAAAATAATTATATACACAAGAGGGATTCAGTCTTCAAAACTGATTTTAAAAAAAAACCTCAAGAAATAGTCTAAAGAATTTTTCAGCATAATGATAAAAAACAAGGATGTGCTGGTTTTTTCCTGTGTTTTTCCCTTCCAGTGTTCCCAAGCAAATCCAGAGCCCAGTGGAGCCACTGATTGATGGAGTCTCCGGGCCTCCTGGAGTCCTGTGGCCCCATCAGTCCTTCCCTCCCTGCCTGGCTGGCATGGCCTCAGGCCCCACCCCTGTGGAACCCAGCACTGCTTTCAGCAGCACTCCTGTCTGCCAGGCCTTCACCAACCCTCAGTGCCCGTACGCTGCAGGCTGTGCCCAGCCTGCCTGCTGGACTCCTTCCTGCGCTCCTCTCGCCGCTTGCAGGGAGGACATGCGAGGCCGGGGGAGCCCATGCTCTTCCTGGACCTACTAATCCATTCGCGTCCTCACCCCCATCGCCTGCTCCTCTTGGCCTGTCCTCCCTCTAGACCCACCCGCTGACGGTGTCTGGTGTCCACCAGGCCCCTGGAGAACCTCTCTGGAGTCTGCCCCACAGGCAGCCCTCTTCTGGGCACAGATGCAGGTCCCCGGTGCCCCTCAGTCCTTGTGGGCACAGACTGTAGCTCCTGTTACCCGGCACCGTGGCCACCGCCTGAGCACCATCCTGCAGGCACAGCTGCAGCCCATGCACTCTCCCAGAAAGCCAGCAGCACTGCTAAGCGAGCCCAGATGCCTCCCAGCCTGCTCCCCCAAAGCGAGCCACTCACCTCGCTGTCCTGCGTGATCTGCACCTGCTCCCCCTGCGGCACCTGGGCAATGTGGAGGTGGCCCTGTGGAATCCACAGCAAGAGAAGACACCAAGAAGCATCAGAAGAAAAACAAACCCAGGAAACACGTGTTTTCGACCCCATTTCTTCCCGACCCTGTGCTCACAACTCGAGAAGGGATGAGCCCTGACCAGCAGTGTGATGCGCCCCTCAAGTGACCGCAATGCTCAGGACATGACAGTCATGGGCTGTCACCTCTCGAGGAACAATGGGTCCTGAAGATAACATGTCACATCTTTAAATGTCACTATGCAGGTAGATGTAAGAATGTCGATATACACAAGGGGAGAAGCAGAAGCTTAAGAATCACAACTTGAAAAATCGCCATGTATAGTGGCACATACCTATAATGCCAGCACTCTGGGAGGCTGAGGCAGGAGCACTCTAAGTTGGAGCCCAGCCTAGCAACTTCACAAGACCCTATCTTAACAAAAAAAAAAAAAATAAAAAAACAAAAAACAAAGGGCTGAGCAGGTAGCTTGGTACAAAGGCCCTGGATTCAGGTCTCAGAGGTAAAAAAAAATAAAGCTATTTTCAATTTGGAGAGATAGAAGCCTCATAGAAACCCCAGGAGTGCCCCTCTGCCAGTGCTCAGGGACACAGCAAGGCTACAAGGGCAGCAGTGACCAGGAGGGGAGGAGCTGCACAGGTGTGAGGTGCTGAGAACAAGATGGGTGATTTTTATATCAAAGAAGCACTCACATGACTTAAACAACTCGTGAAAACACTAATAAACGTGGCCCAAAAGAGCACAGACTCCAGCGAAAACACACTGTTTACAGACACCGGCAGATAATCCCATAAACCTTAATTTAGCTGAACGAAACGAGTACTCAGCATCGTATTTAAAATTCAACCCTAGCCGAAATGGACCTTAGAATAAACGGGTAGGATGCCGTCACCACAACCCGTCTGCGTGTCAGAGCGCTCTGCTCTGAACTGCTAAGGTCACATGAGGGCGATCACACAAACTCCCCAGCTGCTGGACTTGTGTTTATAACTTGCCTCTTCTTCCAAGGAGGGAGGATCTGCGTGGAAGCCCCCTCTGAGGTGCACTGGGTGCACACCAGGGCCAGTCCTTCCCTCTCACAGGGAACAGCCTGCCAGGGCGGGTCTCAGAGGTCCTGAGATGCCAGGGGCCATCACAAATGTCAACACGACCCAGGCGGCACCCTTCCTGCCCTTTCTGCTGCCACGGTGGCCTGGCAGAGCCCATGCAGGGACCCTCAGCACCGGGCCACTGTCTCAGCCCTGCCCTGAGCCACAGCACACCAACACGAAGGGACTGTGACAGCCAGGCAGGCCTCATCTCTGAGCAGCGCCTGTGGGGCAGCTGCAAGGACGAGGGCCACCAGCACTGTCCCTTGGTCCCTGAAGAAGGACCGTTTCCTGTTGGTAAAAGGATGCCTGCGTTTCTCAACTGACAAACATTCAGGATGCTTTAAAAGAGGACAGGCAGAAGCTCGGACCCACAAGTGACCTGGCTTTAGTCACACTGTATACAAGTAGCTGATGCCAACGTTCCTGTAGGACAGACAGGATGGGCCCGGAGGGTCGGGGGGAGACCAATCAACGCCTGTCCTGATTTCCAACGCAAGGTCAGTGACTGCCTTCATTCAGGCTCCTGGCCTCAATACATTCACTCATCCCAAGCTTTCAACACCCCCAGCCCCGCCCCACCCTGCCCCCAGGGCAGCCTCCCACACCCCTGGAGTAGAGAAGGCACGTACTACTTGCACCTGGCCATCCTCTCCGATCTGGTGGATCTGCACCTGCTGGGCGTTAGCCAGAGTGTAGTGCAGGGCTTGTGGCTGCGGCTGTGGCAGCTCGGGGGCGGGCGGCGGGGTGCCCATCATGGTCTCTGCAAGGAGAGAAGCAAAACAGCTCTCAGTGAGCCCCACACGGGACCACGTCATCTCAGGCCTTCTCGTCGCTCAACCTCAGGCCCCACAGAAGAGGATAAAACAGGCTTCATTCTAGCTCAGCGGGCAGGTCTCCAGTCTTTGCAGGGCCATCATGCTAAGTCTGGGCTATCTGAGGTTTCTGACACAAGGACCAGGAAGGTGTAAAGAATCAGTGTCACTGATGTAACTAAGCTCTAGCCAAATGAATGAAAGGCCTCAGGGTGTATCTACAGACAGGAAAGATACAAGGGGTGATCAAAATATACGGTGAATGTTGAAATTTTTAAAATTCATTGCAGTAAAAGACACACTGCCAATAGTCTCCCTCAGAACATTCCCCCTTGCTTCAAATACACCTATCCCAGCTTTCTTGCCATTTTATGAAGCAGTTCTGGAAGTCCTCTTTCATAGCTGTTTAACTGTCTTGAATCTATTCAAAACATTTCCCTTTTGTGGTCATTTTGACTTGGAGGAAGAGCCAGAAGTTGCACAGGGCCAGATCCAGTGGATAGGGGCAATGAGGACACAGCGTCGTTTTGTTACAAGCCTGCCTTTCTATGGATGGCACTTGGAGCAGCATTCACTGTATTTTTCATCACACCTGTGAAGACACTCACAAAGAGGGCTACAGAGCTGCTTCAGAGTGTTTAAAGCCAAGGGAGGGGGCTGGGGATTTAGCTCAGCGGCAAAAGCGCCTGCCTGGCAAGCGCAAGGTCCTGAGTTTGGTTCCTGGTACTGGAGAAAAACCAAAAAAATAAATAAATAAATAAATAAAGCCAAGGGAAATATTCTGAGGGGGATTAACAGCAAGGTGTCTTTTACTGTAATGAATTTTTAAGACTTAAAAATTTTCCCATATATATACTTTGATTCCCTTGTATTGTTACTTTTAATTATAATCAGAAATATAAATTTTTAAAATGTACATGTTTTTGTTATAGAGAATTATGATGATTGTTCTAAACTGTAGCATAAAAATATGCTATAGTGGAAAGAAATTTTGTGAGAAAGGATAACTAGAAGGAGAAAAATGGAAGATAAAAATCTGTGTGCTTGGGTTTTTTGCCAGTGCTGAAGGTTAAATCCAAGGCTTTTCACAGGTTCTACCACTGCACTATCTCCCCGGGCCCAGGCATCTAACGATTAAATCCCTTCATGTATTTTTAATAGCCAACAGCACACATTACACTGCCACGGAACAGAGGTTCCACTGAATACTTTCTAAAACTAATCTAACTAATAAAAATACTAATATTTATAACATGCCAGTAATTATATCTTTTTTCATCATTATTTCAAAGAATATTGAAAATTTTAGGTCTCAACTTTTTAAAAAGTCAACTTAAAAGTGTGCAGGGAAGCACATTCAGTTTCAAATTTCATTAAAAGGATACATGAGCAAAATACTTAATAGGTCACAGATTCCCAAAGAATGTCTGCTCAATGTTAATAAAAATCAATCAGTTTTGATGTTTCCCTAATGGCTCAAAATATAACTAAGAATGATTATACTCATATGTAGGGCTCTAAAAAAACCACAGAAGATAGGATTTGTAAATATACCAATGATCCTCAAACCTACAATTCAAATCACTGAAATTACCATTTAATCAAGAGCTTGTTACAACTGCACAATATAAAAACAAATAATTTAAATCTATGAGGCTGTTTTGTTTTGTTTTTGCAGTACTAGGAGTTGAGCCCAGGGCTTTTGCACTGAGCTACATCTGCAACCCTCCTCTTTACTTTTTGATTTTGAGATAGGCTCTTGCTAGTCTCTAAGTCTACCCAGATGGGGTTGAACTTAGGGTCCTCCTGCCTCAGCCTCCAGAATGCTGGGATTACAGCTAAGATCTATACTTTATAATGGACTAATACTGAAGTTTAGTGTACAAGTTTGCACCAGGTACTTGTTCATGATCAGTCACTGATCCTGTGACAAGCAGCAAGCATGCTCACACCCAAGCAAGGACAAAGGATCAGCAGAGCACCGGACTGCACTGTCTCCACGTGAGGACCCAGCCTGAGGGTGCAAAAATGGCTGCACACATAGACACAGGCAGTGCATTTTCAAGAGCTGGTCCTCAGCAACTTCACGCCTCACCCACCGCGCCGATGACCTGCTAGGACTCCAACCCACCAGAGCCTATATTTAAACAGTAAATCCCAGCTGGGCATGGGGGCACATGCCTGTAACCCCAGTACTCAGCTGGGACAGGAATATCATTTCGAGTTCGAGGCCACCATGGACTATGTAGCAAGACCTGGTCTTAAAAACCAAAACCCAAAATAAAAACGGTAAAACTCAGCCATCTTACACTCAAGCACATGTAAAAGTCCACACAGTGATACCAAAGAGGAGACACAATACAGATACTTTAATATACTGATTAAAAAAAACCTCTTGAAACTAGTGATTTTATGGTTTGTATTCAATTTGGCAGCAACGAATCACCTTTAAATAGACCAATCTTGGCTCAGAATCTCATTTACAGTATTTATTTCAAAGTTCTTCTTTTGTCTGCTGATAATTCAAAGAAGACAAGATAACCCCAACCAGATGCACAATCAGTCCAAACTCATGGAATTCGGGCTAATTACCTTTTGCTGGGTTATTTCTGCCCCCCAAATGCCTTAAAAACAGGAACAGCTTTGTTAGGCCAAGAGCAGATGCAAAAAAACAACAATGAAAAAGATTCCTGAAGTCTCTTCACCTCAACACCTGTTTTGCTCCCCCTAACCCTAACCAGAACACAGTATATTAACACAGACAATAATGAAGTCAGCCGCCGGTCGCAAAGTGATGAACTTTAGAAACAACATGTTCTCTTCCTCTCCACTGGTTCGATGGCAGTGTGTCAAGGGCGGTCCCCAGCCCTCCACAGAAAGCAGTCCTGCCTGGGCCTCCCAGCAGTGCATGACACGAGACATGGGACGTGTGCCTTGAATGTACCATATCGGGTGTCTAGATTTTGCTATCTTCCTACTTGTGACTACTTGTGTTGCTACTTGTGACTCGGTGTGGTCTTTCAGGGGTTGTCCTTGATCTCTACTTTCCCCCTGGGAACACGCTACCCCACAAACAGCCTGGCTTTCTGCAGCCTTATGAAAGCTAGACTTGTCAACCAGGGTCTCTGGCTGGCTGGCGGAAACCTGGAGGCCTCCTGACCCACTGTGAGGGCAGGAACATGAGCTCAGACACCAGCCTCCTACTCCTGGCATGCACATCTTAGAAGCCAGCAATGCTCCAGGGTACCCCGCTCGCTCTGTCAAGAGCTGGAGAGCTCTCACGGCTTCAGCCTCTTGCAGCACCACCAGCCTTCTCCCTGCACGACACACTGTTCTCTGCAGCTCCAGGCTCCCCCTATGCCTTGAGAGGGTCAGGCTGAGGGCCATCCCATCTTACCTCCTCCCTTTCGGGAACAATGGCTGGGGTTGCCTAGTGGCCAGTGTCTACACCCCAGTTTTGTGACTTTGTCCAGGTTTCTACAGGACAGATTCACTAGGGTCCCTGCTACTGTGTCATGACTAAAAGTGAAGATCTACTCCCCTGAATTTTTTTTCAATCAGATTTTATTGGAACATTTTAGATATATATTATAGATATATATATATATTTATATATTCCCCTGAATTTTAAAAAGCATTGTTAAAACTATAAAACTAATGTAATGTTTACTGGAAATGATATGGAAGCCATAGGAAGATACAAACAGCTCAATGAGATAAAAATTACAACCCTACGACCTAGAGACAGCCACTGTGGAGAAAATAACATGTGGATTTCCCACTACTGTCCATGCTAGCTCCACACTTTTAGTAAAAACGGGAGCTTCTGTGTCGTGTGTGCTACACAGTCGCTACACCATGGGACTCACCAAAAGCATCGCATTCACCCCAGGCTGCCGTCTGGATTCCCACCTCGAGCTCCTGATCAGCAGAGAGGCCTGGACTCCTCACTCAGAGCTGCTTTCCTGCACGCACTCACAACAGCACTGCCCAGGGTGCAGCTTGTGTGGCCCACAGCCGCCACCTCCATCTTCAGGAACCTTGGCAACAGCCTCAGCTAAGTATCCGGTAACGACCAAAACAACCAGGAGAAAACCACTTCCTGAAGGACAGTCGGGAGAACTCCAGGTGATCTGATATGCTGCTTCCAGAACAAAGAGCCCTGACAAAGACTCTACTCAGGAGAGTGGTTGAGGCTGCTGGGGTCCTGAGCCGACCCCACTTGCCCTCAAGTTCCAGGAGCTGCTGCCCAGGAGCTACTCCGGGGGAGCTTAGAGAGACTGCTTCAATCCAAACACTTGCTCCGTGTTTTGAGATGTCCCAGGGACATGTGGTCATCCCTGAGAATTTTCCTGAGGAAAACAATCTTTGCAGCAAGCCTGAGCAGAAAGGCAAAGCAATTTGCTTTCATTATTTTGAGGACAAGCCTGAGTCCAAAAAGTCAAAGGTAGACTAAAAGCCACAACTTGGACTTCTCCCAATCTGCACGTGCAGCTGCCATGTAAATGATAATAATCCTGTTGCTATTAAGTCTCCAAGAGGCTGGGGATCTAAACAGGGAGGGGAGGAATGGCCAGGAAACTCTGCCCCTGCACCATCCCTGTAGGGAGGCCTGGAGGCCCTCTACCCTCAGCTGAGTGAGGGGCAAGGCTGCCACGACCTCAGAGTGGCCTCCCTGTACATGCCTGGCCCCGGGACCAAGGCACTGGTGCACTGTGCCCGAGGGGGTCCCACAAGCCGCAGGCATTGGCCCTGGGCACTGCCCCCCGTGGCTCGCCCCACCCTGCCTACCTGAGGTGCTATAAGAGGATGAGGATGGGGTCCTCCGGGAGAAGCTCTTGACCGCCAGACTTTGCCCTCGCTGTTTTCGCCGCCACGCTGTCCGGCATTTGGAGTCAATGCTCTGTTTAATCCGATACCAGTCAGATTCCGTGATTCCAAATTTATAGAAAAGGTGACCTGAAAGAACATGTCCCAAATAAAAGCTGTCAGGTAAGTGCTGTTGTCCTGGGCCCACTGTCTGGGAGCACCTTCGGGGCTGACTGCTGAGAGTCCCGCTACAACTGCTCCTGCAAGTCCCCTGGGACCCAGTCCTCTAGGAAAGCGGGCCGGAAAATCCGCTCATGAGAGGAAGTAGTTAGCCAGTTGATAAGTGATCTCCCAAGAGGAGGCAGAAATGCTTATCATGTGTGCTTCTCTTGTATTTAACTTTTCAGTAACCTGACACCCCAGGCCAGGTAGACTGAGGTGCTCATGAGTTTGCCAACCTCGCCTCCCAACTTCTTTCTGCCCTAAACGCATGTGCAGCACCTAATATCGCAAATGCCTGGGGAGTCAAGTCAAGGGTCCCAACAAGGGACTCAGACCTGGCTTTCTAAGTCCGCAATCCGCTTCCCTCTGCACGCTCATGTCCCCAGGGTGTGTCCCCCACGAGCCCAGCCCCCACAGCTGTGCACACCCTTGCTGGCCCTCCAGCTCTGCCCCACCGAGCACCCTGTTCCTCTACCGCACAGAACGCGTGCTCAATGCCGTGCCTCCCCTTCCCTCACAACATGGAGAACTGGGTTGGTTTTTGTTCACACATGCGTGTCAGGGACCCAGCCTGCTCCGGCACACAGTAAATGCTCAAATATGCGTCAATAAAGGCCTGACACCGTTCCTCCAGTTCTCCTAATTAAGCACCATGAACAGCATCCAGGGTCCCTTCACTCAGCAATGGGGAATCTGAGGGTCCAGGGGCCACTGTGGAACAAATGACAGAATGGAGCCATTGTCCACTGCAAGCCTCACCTGTACCTCACTAGTCCATGGGACCCCTTAGTACCAAGGCAGCAGGAAGGAAGGACACTCAGTATGGGAGTCCAGCACTGTGCCTCCAAAGAGCTAGAGACTTCAACTGCACTGATCAACAGGAAAATAAGCAGATTGAAATTCAAAATTGTAACAATCAAGACTGAGCTAAAAAAAAATCCTATTTTGACTACCAGAAGCACTGAATTTGGACCATCTAAATTACTGCCCAATCCCTAAAAATATGTCCCTATTGAGGCCAAAATGATCAAAATAATCAAAACAGAAGGGTCTGGGTTTTTGAGGTACTAAGTATCAACAGTTTCTTTCGTTTTTGAAAGACACCTCTTGACCTTTTCTAGGAGCAATACGTAGGGCAGATTTAACTGAAACAACAACTATTTCTGTGCTTTAGGCAAAAAAGACACTGGGTTTGAGGAGTTGGGCTGACAGCGTGAGGCAGCGCAACCATGCAGCGGGTGACAGCAGCACCTCCTTCCCTGCAGAGAGGACACCCATACACAAGTGGCGACTCTGGATTCTGACTTTCAGTCCCCTCTAAGATAATCACCGAAGCATCACTCAGTAGGTGTCTGCGCACAGCTTTAAGTACAGGAGGCCTCTTGCTGGTCTCCAGCTTCAGTGAAAGAGGAGCCACTGCTGCCCATGCCACCACAGAACCTGAGCGACGGCTAGCACCTTGTAGCATACATTAATGCCTCCTGAAGGAAAAGCACCATTACCCTCGTGTTGGTTTTGTGGCAGAGGCCGGAGAAAGGAAAAGTGACTGCTCTGAGGTGAACTGTCAGGATGGAAGAGAACCTGCCTCCAACAGTGGCTTCGAGGTGCCCACCCAAGGGGAAGAAAGTGAGTGTCCTCACCACCCTCCCTCACCCAGCCTGGGGTGAGGCAGGCTGGAGACCAAGCAGGAAAGTGTACGCTGATCTCTGCTCACCAGGATGCTGTCCCTCCGCTACGCCACTGCTCTGGAAGGGCACACGCTGGACCTGGCACACGATGGAACTGGGAGGGGAAAGGCCAGCTGTGTGGTCTACAGAGTGGATGCAGGGCAGAAGCCACCGATGCTGCCACCTAGGAGCAGTGCTCAGCCACCTGGAGGCAAAGCCCCCACCACTGGCAGACAGGGTCTTGGAGGAGCCACGCCTGCCCTCTTCTCTGGCAAGCTTCCACGGATGGCCCAGAAAGCATCTCCTCACTGTCACCAGCCTCTCCCCAGAGTCCACTACTGACACTGAAGGTCCGGCCACAGAACTAGATCCTCATTCTCACTTAATGAGCCTGGCACGACGGCCCCGCAGTGCTGTGGGAGAGGGCAGATGAAAGGAATCTCCAGTCTGCGGTGGGTGGCATGTCTGATTTATCAGTCACAAAGGAATGAAGAACATGATCACTAATATAATCTCAAGTTCAAGGAGAAAGTAAAGCAGGAATCTGGGTGCCAACTTATTTCTTGAAATTGTAGACGGACCAGATAGCAGCTGGCCCAGAAAAGCATGAGGAAGACGTGTTTGTCTTGCTGCCTCACCAGGCCCCACACACCCCACCGGCAGGCTCCCCACCTTCAGGCGAGCCAGCACTCTCCCCAAGTGCTCCTGCTCCCCACCTTGAAGGCCCAGCTGCCCTCCCTGACTGTGTGTATGCAGCCCCACACTGCTCCCCCCACGCACAGCATCCCACTGAGGAGGGCCTGCCCTTTGGGTTCCATTCCACAGCACCTCCTGGCCACTGGCCCATCTGACCACGCCCTCCCCAGCTCTGCAGACAGACGTGTCCTTGGTGGCCCCGAGAGCTGTGTTTGGCCATAGCAGACCCACGTCAGCACCGTGTGCAGCTTTCGTCCTGCCGGCAAACACACGCGCCCCACAGAAGGAAGGCTTGGATAAGAGCATCTGATTATCCAAGTTCAGAACCCACACCCTGTGCCTGGGTTGAACAGTGCTCCCCTAAAATGCAGATCCTTCCCAGGACCTTGGAATGCGACCTCCCTGGGATCCAGGGTCTCTGCAGATGTGATTAATTAAGATGAGATCATACTCGTGGACTCTCACTGCAGTGGGACTGGTGTCCTTATAAGGAGAGGAGACAACCATGGATACACAGAGCAAAGATGGCCTTGCGATGACAGGGCAAGGACAGGAGTGAGACTGCCACGGAGCAGGGGTTGGAGTAGTGTCATCACAGGAAGCTGGTGGAGGGAAAGCCCCTCAGAGGAGGTGATGTGGCCCTGTCGAGAGCTGGCCCTCGGGAGCCTGCCTCCCAACCTGAAAGAGAGCATAACATCTGTGTTTCTGGCCTCCAGCCCGCAGGACTAGGAACTCAAGAGAGCTGTAAGATGCACCTGAAGGAAGAACGCCAGTGCCCACGTCGTGGGAAGGGTGAGCTAACAGGGACAGTTCCAGCTGTCTGCTAGGTCCTCTGTGAACACAACTTCCAGTTTGTGCAAATGAACCCAACTTCCCCCAAGCACCAGAGGCCCCGTGGATCTCTCATTCACGTCACGCTCCTCACAGAGGTCCTCAAAGGTCTGGCACGGCCATTCTGATGGCGTTTTCTTTTTCTTTTTTTCCTCCGGTACCGGGAATCAAACTCATGACCTTGTACTTGCCAGGCAGGTGCTGTGCCGCTGAACTAAAACCCCGGCCCCTGGCTTTTTCTTTTTTTTGAGACAGGGTCTCATAATGCAGTTCAGGCTGGCCTTGAACTCACTTTGAAGCCCAGGCTGGCCTCAAACTTGCAATGATCCTCCTGCCTCAGTGTCCCAAGTGCTGGGATTACAGGCATGCGCCACCATGCCTGGCAAAACAATATAGACTGCTACTAGATGCAGGATCACTTCTAATGCCATATGAAATGGTGGTGTTTTGTTTTTGTACCAGGAATCGAACTCAGGACCTCGCACTTGCCAGGCAGGCACTTGTGCCACTAAGCTATATCCCTCCGGCCCTCTGATGGCGTTTTCATTCTATTTCTGGTACCCTGTAGAGAGCACTTGTTCTTCAGCATCATCTAAGCAGGGACTCCCAGAATCCAGTTTAAAACAAAATCACAAGAACTCACCTAAATGAAGAGGGCACTGCTCACAGACACGTCCCAAGTGTCTCCAAGTCACAGCAACTGCTGCTCTTCATGAGGCGCACACACTAGTTAGCTGCCTAAATTCGAAGCAGGAGGTCCATCCACTCTTGGGAACCCTTAAAAGCTAACACCCCCAATAGCAAATTTCTCTCTCCCTTTCAAAAAACCCATTTCTCCATTTCACAAAGAAAGTACTTAGAGATAAGAGCAATTGTATGTTTCAAAACGCAGATTTTTGCCTCCAAAAAAAAGGAAAGTATTTCTGCTAACAGAAAAGAGAGACTTAAAGCGAAGCTTTCTCCACAATGAGCAGGACTTGCCAAGTAAGGCCAGCAGCAAGCTTCACACTACAGCCGTAGATGTCACTGTGAGACTCAGGATGCAGCAGGGACAGGGGCAGGGGGACGAGGGCAGGGGGTCGCTAGCCAATTCCACTCTTGCTGCTACCCACGCTAAGGCCTCAGGAGTGCGGTCCATGCATCTGTTTATTTCGTTGTGCAATAGTCAGCAGTAAGAATTAACTGGGCCAGGTGGAGAATAGGTAAACAAGCACTTCTAGCATTTCAACAATTCTTTCTGACCACGAGCAGCAGTGCTCTGACCTGCACAGGCCTCACCAACACAGGTGGGCCAGGGTGGGCAGTAGGAGGAGGGGTTCCTGTCATAGTCTGAGGGGGCTGCACCCCAGCAGAAGGGACCTGTGCCCTTACCACCCAGCCCCTGGTGAGGGCCCCATGAGTTGGAAGGGCCGACCACACCAGTCCAAAGTCCACAGAGCTCTGCTTGTCTCTTCCTTGGAAAACCAAGGAAGCTAAGGCACCAAGCGACCCACCAGTGGCACAAGGTCAAGGCTGAGGTCATGTTCAGCTTGTTCTCTCCCCACAAGGGAGAGCCTCCAGCGGGAACTGCCCAGATGACAGGAAGCACAGCTGGGCCAGCCTAGGATGCTTGGGCCGGCTCTGTGCACTGCAGCCTCAGGCTCCGGTTCCCCTCTGTTCCCCGGGGTCCTGAGCCTGGCACAGTGCCCATGGGCCAGGTTCTCTGAAGGCCTGCAGGCAGTTCCTGTCCAGGGGAGATGTGTGCACCTACTTGCTCTGGAGATGTGAGACAGGCACGAGGCAGCTGTTCAGAACACCGTCCCCGAGCTGTCTACTCAGCAAAGACACAGAAGCACATGACAAGACGTCACAGTCACCCAAGGCATGGCTTCCACCACGTGGGCAGTGCCCTGGTGGGTGAAACTACACACAAGGGTTAGTGCTCAGGGCACGAACTCGAGGCTGTGGCTTAGCTCCAGCAGACACTGTTTCTCTGATGGCCTGCCCTGCTCTCTATATGATGGCTCTCCCAGGTGACGACCAACTGTGTGGAGGGCACGCAAGAGGCAGCCACACTTCTCCAACTCCTTGGGTGCCTATGAGACTCTTCTTCGCTCTATGGACTCCGCATCACATAGACACAAAGTACGTGGAGTCGGAGCTCACCCCTACGAAAGCCGCAGGCTTCCTCTCCCGGGAAACCATGCAGCACTTAATTCAGGGCGACACAAGGCAGCAGTCTGCACGTGTCCATGCATGGTGCCCCGACCACAGCTCCGCCACAATGCTCAGGCCACCTGCCAAGCAGGCTTCCATGTAAATTCTGCTGGTGACCCAGAGTTTCTGACAGTAAATCAGTCACCTGCTACACGGGGAAGAAACGGATCTTTCACCAGGCAGCAGCGATGATGAACTGAGTTCTGCGAGGCCAAGCCCTGCTCCTGTTGCAGAAGCCCAGGACTCAACCACTCCTGTTTGCAGGGCCAAGCCCTGTCCACCTACAGTGACTCAGTCTCTCCACAAGGCCCTAGGACCAGCCACTGCTTTCCTGTCTTCCTAAAGGCCAGCCCTGCTGGGGACCATGAACATGAATTGACACAGTATCCACCCTAGGCTCTCCTCACCCTGCCTGCCTTGGGGGCAGTTTGGAATGCAGAAATCCCACTTCCTCTTGGTCAATGAGATTAGCACCCAGGCGTGGGGATGGACCTTGGCGGGTTTCCTTCATGATGTTCCAGGGAGAGTGCTGTATCCCATGCCTCCCTTGCACTGTCTAATAAAATGGTGGCTAGCTGGGGATTTGGGGCCTTTTGCTTCTAGAGAGCAATTGGTGGTCCCAGATTCCTACTATGCTCCCCTCTACTTTGTCTCTTGCTCTTTCTTTCCTTTCCCACCATGTGCCATAACCCAGGCAGAAGTTTGGAACCCACTGCAGGGGCCTCCAATACCTGGCACTGTGGGAAGGGTCTCTAATAAGCCTAGTCCATGACACTAGCAGGTCTGTGGATGCAGCACTTACCAGGCATCTCTGCAGAGCTGGGCAGGGAGCCCAGAGGTGCTATCTTACTTATTTTCTCATTGCTGGGACCTGGGACAAAATATCCTATACTCACAACTACAGGAGAGGACTATTTAGGCTCACAGAATGTAGAAGTTTCAGCACACACAGTCTACTGGCCCCAAGGCAGGACGGCATGGGGGGCAGGAAGCAGCGCCAACAAGGGGGAGCAGAGATGTATACACACACCCGTCCAGGCCACGCCCATGGACCCGTCTCTCACCAGGCTTCACCTCCCAACATCACACCCAGCTCTAAACCCTCAGTGGCCTAACCCACATCACAGTCACGGTGCAGTCACTCCCAAAAGCCCCACCTATGAGCGCATGAGGCTTTAGGGGTGCATCTAGACACAGGCCCTATCAGTTGGGGTGATGTGGTGAGCAGGTGTCAGTGAGCACAACCTGGTGAGCACAGCCACAGGCCCAGAGAGGATGCGAGGACACAGGTTCCATGAACATCTCATGCCTCCTGATACCCTGTGACCATGAAGTACAACTCTTAGAATCAGGGGAACCAGGACCTGTTCCCACTATGTGAGACCAGTACTGTCCAGCCTGAGCAGACTCTGGACACAAGCATGCCCACCTGGTACCATGTGCTTCTGCTTCTAAGTCTCGCCCTGAGGGGCGTGGATCACCTGTCTAGAGCATTCCCTGTGCTGCTGCCAAAAAGCCTACCAACTGCAGCCTGTGTTCAGAAACCCACAGTCCTGGTACGGACAAGAGTCCAAGGTAGCTTTCAAACCTGAGCCAGCCAGCCGCCCTCTAGCTGCACGTCTGGACACATTTTCATCTCCCCAGAGGAACAAGTACATGTCTTGGGAACAAGGGCTATCACCAGAACACTAATGCTCCCACACAGCACCTGAGCCACACTGCTCACAGGGCCCAGCTGACGTGCCAGCATCTTCCTCATGCAAGGGGCCCCCTCGCTAGGTTGTCTCCAACTGCCTAATGCCTACCACCACACCGGCATGTACCTGACTGGAACCCATTTCCTACTCACCCCTCTCTCCCAGCAGCACCCCACACTGTGGTCCCCAGCCAAACACTTCCCATGGCAACCTGTTACCAAGCAACCCACGGGCCCAAGGTCACACGCACAGGTGGGCCAGAGCAGGGTGTCTGCTCAGGAACACTAAAGCAGAGGATGACAGATGTCACCAGGCTGCTATCTGCCACTTGCCTTTGAAGATAATGCTTTACTGGAACACAGTCACGTTTTATTTGCTTACGTTTGGTCTATGGGTGCTCTCAGAGAAGCTGAAGACAGGCCTGAAACACCTGCAACATGGCCCTTGGAAAATGTCTGCAGCCCCTGCTCCAAGCCACAGCACTGCTCATTCACGACCTGCTCTACCCTGTCTCCACTGAGAGACCAAGGCCAGGTGGCCACAGGTATCAGCTAAAACAATGGTCAGATGGGTACCCTGGGGCTGGGCTGGGGACAGAATCCCTGAACTGACAGCCAGCCTCCCTCCCTCAGGGTCAGCCAGACTGGGCTGCATTCCTCAGCAACTTCTGCAGTGCACACAACACCTTCAGCCTCACTCACCGTCGTTGCCACACGCACAGGGATCCCACTGTTTGTGTGGACAGCGCAGCCCTCACACGGCACAGCTCAGTGTCAGAGCTGCAGGTGGGGACACACTCCCCCGCAACTCCAGGGCAGACTCCAGGTGCGCTAGAAAGGCTTCAATTGCGCACCGTGGCCGCTCTCCCCAACCCGGCTCCATGCCCACTCCCTCCTCACTCCCTCACCAGAAGCCACACTGGACAGCTCGGACTCACAGCCCCAGGGTAACTGTCAGGCTGGGAGCACTAAGCTGATGATATCCCACATCCTCTCCATGTGTTATCAGTGGGAAGGCACCGTGACACAAGCAAGAGCAAGTGCTGCTCTTCAAATAGGGGAAGACTCGGGCCTTGCGGTCAGTCCTGGAGGCTCTCCCGGCTTCCTGTGATGGAGGAGGCAGGCAGCACTGTGCTCAAGCCACTTAGCTGTTTAGGGTAGCCGTGACTAGTGGGAGGCAGGGCTCTACTCTCCTTCCTCAAGAGTGGCCTAAGGACCAGTGAGGCTGGATCTGAAGGTCCCTAAAAAACCCTTCCCCAGGGTCTTTCTCACTGCAGGAAAACCCTCGCTGTAGGCCCAAAACATCCCTGCCCCAAGCTCCCTGGATCCCCCAGGCCTGCCAGCCGTGCAGGCCCTGCAAACATGGTCCAGACTCGGCTCTCCAAATACCTCGCACCCCACGCCAGGCAGGAATCAGACCCCGTGCTTACACCGGATGCCATAGATGGTGAGCGGGTCAAGCTGCTTCTTCCCATGCTTGCCCTGGCCCGACAAGTTGGACACAGCCTGCACCTCACGGTGGAAGAGGTAGTCCAGCAGCGTGAGGGCCATCTTCTCGGCGGTGCGGCAGTTGGTGCTGATGTGTAGCATGTCAGAGGGGATGATGGCGCAGCGTACCCTCATCTCAGGGTTGTTCTCGTCACCGAGCCAGGTGCCATTGGGGTAATCCTCTGCAAAGAGAAACGGGAATCCCATTAGCAAGGTTCCAAATAAGTGCCCACATTCAAGCAGGCCAAAGTGGGCTGGGAAAGGCGCATGGCAAGGTCGCAGGAGTGCAGGAGCCCTCAACACACTCAGGGAACTGAAGTCCAGTGGAGATCGGAAATGACTGACATACCCAGGAGCAGCTTCCATTCCTCCTAACCTACTTGAGGAAGACGTGCAGGACAGACTGTGTCACATAAAGATCCTCTGCACTACACTTGAGATAAGGCTGCCCTCCGCAAGCTCTCCAAGGCCAGGTTCTCTTTACATCTCAGCAGGGAAAGGGCTTACAACACGGACACGGACACGGACACCTTTTGCTTGCTGCAGCTTCAACTGTCTAGACAGGGATGGCAAGCACCTCCCTGGGTCTCCCGGGCCAGAAGTGTGACGGTCACACAAGCATACCTATCTGGCAGGACAGGGGAGGGCTCTGCACATTCACCTCTGCTCTGGTCCATGCCAAGTGCAGGCCACACAAAGGGTGAGCGCCACCTACTCGAGGCGGGCAAGCTCCCTGTTGTACCCACGCTGCTGGGAGTCCCATGGGGACATGCTGGCCTCCGAAGTACTCGCCTCTCCTCACGACTGAGCCCACCACCACATTTCGGACTGGCTGGCGCCCTGTCCTCTCCTGAGGCCTTGTCCCTCCCTTCCTGCCCTGGCCTGCCCAGCAGCACACGAGGAGTCCACTCATGGAGAGTGCTTTCTCCACCTCTCTGTTTGGTGCCTCTTGATCTCTTTCCATCCTCCAGGCTACGTTTCCTTCCTGCGCCACCTCTGAGTCTTACACCTGAGGGAAGTCTGAGAAAAAGGCAGGGTCTGGACTGCCAGGGGCTCATGTACTATTAGTCCTTGACCACGACTCCAGGCTGTGCCTCGTGCAGCAGCCCCTCCCAGTGGCTGACTCACAACGCTGCCAGGAGACACAAGGTGAGGCCAGAGCGCGGGCCACGCAAACACTGTCTGGTCTGGTGCAGGGGCCGAGGCCAGCAGCACTGCTCAGGGCACACAGGTCGGGCTCGTGGCTGTAAACAAGTCTGAATTTTGGAATTCAGAGTGAGTGGTGCATAGGAACATTTCTCAGAGACACAGAAGGGGAGAACGGGTGTGAGGACACATGCTTAGATATAGGCGCCCTTCTAAAGGTCAGCCAGCCCCAATCATAGTCAGCCTGTGCATGAAAACCCAATCTGTGACCACATAGCAGAGCCTCCAGCGGGGCTGTGAGAACGTCACTGGGGTGCAAGGCTCCTGATGCCGTGGGACTTATTAATCTACCACCAACACATTCTAGACAGCTGTGTGCTGGCCACTGGAACTAATGCTCAGAAAAACTGAAGCCTCGTTCAGCCCAGGGCCCAGTGACACTGGGAGCACAGGAGGACACGCCCTGTGGCAGTCCAGTCGTGGGGCGGGGGTCCCCCACAAGGGCAGAAATGAAACTTAGAACAGAAGCTGGTGTCTGCTGACACCAAGCATCTTTGGACACAATACCTGAAGGCCGGGAGCTCAAGGACCCAATGGGAGAATGTCAGGAGGGTGGCGTGCCCTTAGCTGTCAGAGGTGGGGTGCTGGTGGCACCTGGTTCCCCATGAGGATGAAGGAGGATTCGAAGAACAGTGAGTGGGGAACTCAGCTTCAACTCCCCAAATGCTAAAGACTGCAGTGGCCTTTCCCAGGGATTACAAGAGTGCCGCATTCTACCCAGCCAAGCTCTGCCTTTTGAGATGATTCTAAAGTAAACACTGGACAGGAGCCCAGCAGTTGTTTTCCAAACAATGAGTCAGTACCATGTCCAAGTGTCACTGGGAACATGTGTGAAGAGTGATCCAGGCCAGCTGCAATGACATGAGTACAACCTACAGGCTGAGCCTTCCCGACCTACCCAGGGTGAGGACCACCTCCCACAGGGCTGCCACCCACACCTCACTCCTCCCCCAGACCCCATGGGGCGGCCAGGTTACAGCGGAGGCAAAGGTGTCCCCATGCTGCCACTTCAGCTGCCCCAAACATGTCCTGCTGGAGGCACCCCCCACCCGGCCGGCTTCAGGCCCTACCTGCAGCAGGTGCGCACACACCTAAACTCAGTGCAACGGAAACCAGGTGCACCTGTACCCCAAAGCCAGCTGCCTCCTGCTCTACACTCACCAGGGGGACAAGGCTGAACACCAAGCCACCCTGTGCCTCCTTGGCTTTGTCATTTTGTCTGGTCTTTGAAGAATGAGTCTCCCTCTCTGCTGCTTCCGCTGGGGTCTGCCCTCCTCTGTGCTTGGGTCATCTGACCTGGGCTCTCAGTGGCTTCCATCTCACCTGTGAGAGAGCCAGAGCGTCCAGGAGCTCGTGTGTCAGTGTGCGCTCTCCACAGCTGGCTCCCCCGCCCCCGACACCTGTCAGCATCGCACCCCCAGCTTTCTCCTCCAGCACCCTCTCTACATGCGGTGCTGCAATCCCACCTACTGAGGCTGAGGCAGGACAAGTTCCAAGTCAGACTGAGTAACTTAATGAGACACTGTCTCAAAGAGTGTCAAGAAATAGGGCTGGGCCGGCTGGGATGTAGCGCCGTGGTGGATCACTTGCCTACTATTCTCGATGTTCAATCCCCAGTACTGCCAAAAAAACAAAGAAAAAAAATGAAGCCCAGGTACAGGCGCAGAGTGTCCCTAACAGGCAGTAAAAGCGAGGAGAGACCCACCTTTGCTTAATGGATATAATTAGCTGGCATGAAGGCCACATTCTCGGGCTGGAGCTTCTCTGCCAGTGGCATTGGCATGGAAGGGGAATCTGCTAGAAATGCCTGTCCTCAGCTCTGCCCCTCCCTGTGGGTTAGAGTTCTGTCCAGCTAACCCTGCCCTCCTCAAAGAAGCCAGGAAGCCTTCAGGGCAGGCTTTCGTGGCTGGCTTCAGGGCAGTCCACAAGGCAGTCCACAAGGACACCACTGCCTACCGAGCTCCGCGGCAGTGTTAAGAGAACGGAGCGTGGACAGGCCCAGGCAAAGTAGCCTGCCCTACCAGGGACAAGGGCTCCTGGGCCTGAACTTCTACCACTCCTGTGACCAACAGGGCACTGAGCATCTTCAGACATCAACCTCAATCAAGTTCCCAGTGAAAGTATGAGGCAGAGCTTAACCCAGAAGCAGAGCTCACACCAACGCTGACGCCCTGCCTGCTAAGAACAAGGAGACGGGGGCACTCCCAGAGCCCTCCTCCTGACCAGCTGCCGTCCTTGGCCCTCCCCAACCTGATGACACCTTCTCCATACTGAATTGGAAGCACTGCTTCACATGCATCCTGACAGGAAATGCTGGGTTACTGAACTCTCTATATGTTCAAGATTCCCCGTAGGAAAAAAAAAAGGATGATGAGAAATCCTAGGCTAAATGAGCACAGGAAGGGAGGACACCCACAGATCCATGTTATGAGTCCGGGAGCCCTTAACCAGGAAGCAGCGCTACACTGCCCCTGGGCTCCATCTCCTCCATGCATGCTCCGCCCTGACTCGGACCTGGGTGGGAAGCGAGGGAGACACAGCCAGCCTGCAGCCCAGCTTCTCACTGAGATCACGAATCGTGCCTTTCACTTGGGAAACACAAAGTGCCTGTGAACCCTGCAGCAATTCAGAAAGAGCGGATCGTGCATCTGAAACAATAGATTCTAGTCCCGTTTTGTTGTTTTGTTTTGTTTGAGACAGAGTCTCACTATGCAGTTCAGGCTGACCTCGAACTCACAGCAATCCTCCTACCACAGCCTCCGGAGTACTCAGCTGACAGGTGTGCACCACCACGTCTGACCTCTAATAGTTTTATTTAAAAAGCACAGGAAAAATAAACTTGCTTACTCTTACAATTATTTAATCTTTAAGGAAATTGTCCCTTCTGAAACATCTATTAAAATGAAAAACTTTCAGCAGTACTTTGAATTTTCTTGCCACTACCACAGTTCAGAATGCAAGTAGTTGCTTCCAGCAAGTCTAGTTTAAGTTCCAGGAAAACAAAATGGGCAGGAGAAAGCACTGAGACAAGAATGCAACCACCTCCCAGGCCAAGCCAGAGGTGAGTGTAGAAGAACAGCCCCCAGCCCCTCACAGGGAAGGAAGAGAAAAGGAAGAACAGCCCCAAACCCTGATGGTGTTCCCTTCCCCGGTCTGAGCAGGCCAGAGTCCCCTCCTGTCTGCAGGGCAAACCCGTTCTCACAGATGTCAGTGACTGTGCAGAGAGGACAGAGCTGCTCAGTACCTGCAGCACAGCCAACTCGACAAACACTTCACACTCCCCAGCACCAGCAGAACATCCCACAGAACTAGAGACCACAGCAGGGTCGTCCTGAAAGTCACCAGCTGGCCCTAGCCGGATGCTCTGCGAACTCTGCTGATCTCGGAGATGTGGTCCCCACAAGCAAGCCCCTCAGGTGAGCCAAGCGTGCAGGAGCAGGAGCCTGTGGCCCAGAGGCAGCAGGGGTTGTCACAGGCTGGACCTCCACACACACACCCAGGCCCCCAGTGAGAGCGCTGGTTGATTTTAGGTTTCCTAAGCTGCCCGAGTTCCGTGAGTCAGGACCTCATAGTGGTGGGAGTTGCTCAGGATACACTGCCGTCTCCAGCCAGAGGACAGTGAAGGCAAGAGGACTAAAAGGCGGCAAGACTGCAACCTACTGTGGGATTCCAGTTTGTTCAAAGCCTTGGTGCATAGGGCGATTCCACAACACCTGGGTCAGGTTGGGACTTCAAGGTCCACTCGGCCAGCTCAAGGCAAGTTTGCAGAACAGATCCATGCTCTACGTGAATCTCAGACAATACTTCCCACCGGTATCAGGAATAGGTTTTCACTTGGGCTTTGTAAGAGCCTGCTCACACTGCTGACCAATCCCAAAAGCAGCACACTGAATGAAAGGAGAAAATGGCTCAGCAACCACATGGCGCTCAGAACATATTTACAAAGTAAAAGACCAAAGGCTGGCGCCCCGCTGCCTTCGAGCTGCATCATTACACACACAGCACAGCCCAAAATGTTTTCCCCACCAGCACACAGCCTAACAACTACACGTAGTGCATTTGCTCCACCAAGAGAGACACTTCAAGTCCTCTGTGCCTTCATGTGTCACACAAAAACATCCTGCCCTGAGGCCCTCAGGCCCTAGGAGCCCAGTCGAGAACAACGTCCACACCAGCCACATACAGCTGCTTCATGCACACGTGGATGAGTGGACACAACGAACACCTGGAGTGGGTAAAGGCCAGGAAGCTCAGACTGGAAAGGAAGGATGCTCAGAGCCAAGTAAGGGTCCAAGCGGAGCAGTGTTGAGAGCCAGGTGGGCACTGCACTGCCATTTTATAATTATGTGACACAGAACTTGAGAATTTTAGAAACCGTATCACTGACACTCCACAAACCACAAATTACAGAAATGTCAATTTAGATATAAAATATTTCACCACTTGTCTTTTAAAATGCTTTTTGCTGGGGGGCGGGGGGTACGGGCTACTTTTGTTTTGTTGGCTTTTGATTTTTGTTCCAGGTCAACAATTCTATTATAAAGACTTTACCACTAATGTGCAAACCTTTTTTAAAGTGAAGAACTATTTAACCATTAGTAAAAGGACTGTGGCAACCTGGGCCACGTGGTCACTCCACAAGCAGGTTCTAAGTAAGCATCTGCCATCAGCGTGGCTCTCCGCAGCAGTCACCTCTTGTGCCCTGTGTGGTCACCATGATGCTGATAGGTCAAAAGTCAAAGTTTCAAGCGGGACTCAGACCCTTCCCTGGCCTGCCTTCTGCCTCAGTGAGTAAGGACTAAAAGGCTGGCTGAGTTACAGAAATAAAATAGCTAACATGTACCAAGAACGGGATCCATTAATTAAGGGATTTAGTTAAATTTGTAATGAGAGGTTTAAATTATTGCTGTGCAGGCATTTGATAATTCCTGCAAGACTTGCCTAACTCTATATGTAAAAGATGAGTGCTTGGTTGTAACAGGGAAGTACTATGATTCAGCTGTAACTGGACTGGTGCATGGGGGCCTGAGCTGTGGACTATCGCTCCCCAACACACCAGCGCCCACACACCCACAGCACAGGCGCAGGAACTAAGCTCACCGCACACACTCCAAACAAACGGAGATGACATTCCTTCTCATTCAGGTGGTGTTCACATCACCAACAAATGAAATGCCACGTAAAAACTAGCATAAAACAAAGCTGCACGTTTGTGGTATAATAAATGGACTCATGTCTAATATAAAACAGCATGTGGAATTCTTAAAAACCACTTTGAAATCCATGGTTCTCTAAGACTTCAAGCACTCCAATGTTTATAGAAGACAAGAACAATCTGTCTACTTGCAGCTCTTGGCTCTTATCAGGACCAAGAAGACTAAATACAAAGATGAGTCCATTGCCCGTGAGCATGCCATATCCCAATGCTTCTGTAACGTGGACAGGTTCATACCCTCCTGCCGAGCAGCGGTGCTGGCCGGGGAGACCTGGGGGGACAGCCGACCTGCACCCCAGTGTGCACAGAGGGTGAACAGATGGTACTTTACAGCACCAGGCTGACATATAAGATGTCACGCACTGGATGTTTCTCCAGCCTTCACACATGCAGAGATCACTTAAAGATGGCACTGCCCATCCTCAAACATTCTCTGAGCTCCTGTGCCAATGTGACAGCTCAGCCTGGTATGCCCCTCACACTGGCACACTGCTGGGCGTACACTGCCAAGATCAGTGAGACAGATGTACCACAGAAGGTTTCTTGGACTGGAGCGAGAAAATACGATGGTTCTGAATTAAGACCTGTTCTTCAAAATAAGATAAAACAAAACCTTAAATTAGAAAAATGTCTCCAACCAGCCCTGACCCTAACCCTGCGCTGCATGTGTGTCGAAGTCACCTGGTGAAAACAACCACCTCTCAGAGTGGTCACAAAACTCTTCTGGAAGCCTCTGCTAGAGGCAGGTCTTATTCTGGGATGCTGAGGCAGGAGGATCACAAGTTCAAGCCCAATCTAGATGATATAGTGACTTAGCAAGATCCTGTCTCAAAATAAAGGTCTGGAGACACAGCTCAGTGCAAAGATTCCTGGGTTTAATTCCTAGTACCAGAAAATGTGAAGAAGCAGCAACAGCAGCAGCATGTCTCACACAGAGTAGCATCTTCCACTCAGACACAAAAAAATCCTTACTTCTTCCTTATGGTGTTACTGACACCAAGTAAACCCCAAACGTGACTCCTTTTTCCAAATCCATTTTAGTTCCAGTCTGCTGTTTCTCCAGAGGAATATATTTCACACCGGTCATACCATGAGACAAAATTTTAAACGAGAAATTCTTGTTTTGATGATAATTCCAGACTCCCTAATATCAAGTGCTTTCTTCGTTTGCCAGCTTACTTTGCACCAAATGAACATCAGGCCTCAGCAGCTAAGCAGCCCGTGGACATCTGCACGAAATCCACAGGGAGGGGCAGACGCACACGTGGTCCTCTCTACCGTGCTGCAATGTGACCGGCACTCAATTCCCACGAGGATGGAATCAGCAGCATCCCTCTGTACCTTCTCCTCAAACCCAGTGTCAAAGAATCAGTCGCCTTGACCTTGCAACTCATTCATGCACAAACTCGGCACATAGACATTCACAGCAGTGTAATTTACACCAAAAAGTAAAAGTAGGCTAAATGCCATCAACAGATGACAGATAAACACAATGTGGCCTCTGCCCCTACAGTAACGATCACTCAGCCATGACAGGGATGGGGTCCTGGCAGCTCTACAAGCTGGACAGCATACAACCCTGCTCATGGGGTGTCCACAGTGCGCATCACTGGGACAGAGCTGAAAGGGCTCTGGGCTGGAAGGATGGAGAGTAGCTGGTCAAGAAGTAGCAGGGCTTCTTCTCAACTGAAAATAGTAGAACTACATGTGCACCATGTAAATAGCCTAAAAGCCACTGTGTCAGCTTTCTGCTTCTGTAACAAACACCTGAGATAAACTGACTTCTAAGAAGAAGCAGTCAATTCCGGCTCACAGTTTCAGAGGCCCGAGTCCATGGCTGCTGGCCCCGGAGCGCTGGCTCTGTGGCAACACAGCCCTCGTGGCAAGAGCACATAGCAGGGAAGCTTCCGCCTTGGAAGGCAGGAAGCAGAGGCAAAGACAGGAGAGTCGGGGGTGCCCGGAGTCTGGGGTGACGTGCACAGCCTGGCTCCTTAGAGGTTCAGCCGCCTCCCAGCAGTGCCCCAGGCTGGCCTTGGGGACACTCAAGATTCAGACTTGAGCAATCACAGAAATGTATGCTGTCAAAGGCCAACTTTACAGTGTAGAAAGTAGGTCTTATTTTACCTTGGTTTTTTTTTCCTTTTTGGTATTTTTTTCCTTGTATTTTTAAAAGGCTGCTATACTTGCCTTTGCCTCTGAAGCATTTCCAGCAGAGGTGAAAGCCATCTCTGAAAACAGAATGCTCCCAGTGTTTGAGATACAGTAACAAGCCACTCATAGGAAAATCTCTGTGCAGGAAAAGGGTCTACTATTGTGCTCTTTATAGGAAAAAGCAACCACTCAGATGTGGAAGCAGAAAAACCTCACATGTAAATAAAGTAAATAAGATGAGAGCTTCAGAACTCTGATACACAAAGCCAAATCCAAGTTCTCTCCTTTCTCCTATGTTGCAGTGGTTGAAAAGGACGCAAGGGCCCCGTGTGGCACAAATCCTCTCAAAGCCACACTGGCGTAACCACAGGCCAAGGCACAGGCTAGAGGGCACCTCAGACCCCTTAGGAGAGAAGGGCTTTCCCTACCTTGAGGCTCCCAGGACCCCCCCAGGGGAAGTCCAGGAAAGACAGACAGACCCCCACGTCAGCCACACCCACCCCTCCCTGCAGACGCTGTTGGGACAGGCATGGGCCTAAGGCGAACTACACTGTCTAAGCCCAGCGAGTGCCTTCTGGGATTCCACATGCAGACTCTCACCCCAGGGAACCAAAGACCTCCTGTCCGAAGCCAGAAATGATGAAGCCAGTGATGAAAGGTTCCAACTGCCGTCAGAAAACAACAAGGACATGGTTAAAGAAGTAAAAGCAGCTCGGCGTGGTGACACACACCTATAATCCTAGCACTGTGGGAAGCCGAGGCAGGAGGATCACAAGTTCAAGCCCAACCTGGGCAACTTAGCAAGATCCTGTCTCAAAATAAAGAAATTAGAAAGGGCTGAGGATGTCGTTCAGTATGAATGCTCTGGGTTCAATCCCTAGTACCACAAAAAAGATCTGAAAACCGAAGTGCAAGTCTGTATTAGTGTGGAAACAGAAGAGACAGAGGGCTGCGACCTCCAAAGGGTGGCATTTCAAGTGATTACAACTTTCTTCATCATTTTCACATTGGCTCACTTTCCTCAAATGAGAAATGTACAGCACTTCCCAAGAGTGAGCACAAAGTTTTGTTGCGGCTGGCTGGCCAGTGGGAGGCTACCAGCGAGGCCGCCAGGGACGCACCTTCTGAGTTCAAGGTGATGAGCGTGACGTTGCTCCCGATGCTCTGGCTCCCGGGCTGGCCGCAATTGGACACCGAGTCGCTGGCCTCTGAGCCACTCTCCCCGTCTTCGTTGTGGCTGTCATCTTGGCCCGGTACCTTCACAACAATGGTGTTCTGTCGCCTCCCAGGAACAGCGCTAAGGGAAGAAAAGCGCACGGTCCACGCTGTGAGAGTGACAGGGACAACCACAGCCAGCCCTGCCTTACTCAAGTCCTGGGCCTGGGACTGACCCCAACCTCTGCCTGGGCATGGACCAGGGACCAACGCTTCTCCTTACACAGCTCCTTCTACAGAGACTGACATCCTCTTAATGCAGAAAGAGTCTGGGGCTGGAAGACATGGTGTAAAATAAAGCAAACATTTAAAGAAAATATTTACATCACTAAAGAAGTCCCCTCATAACTCACTGAGCCACGGTAGTACGCTGCCTCCTGCCCCCAGGGGCGAGCCTGCAAAGTGCTGACTCGGGCAGCCCTTGTGAGGGCTGTGTTGAGGGAACGTCTACGTGGACAGGGAGCCCAGGGCCCAGATCCCTCCATCCACCCTGCCAGACACCCAGAGGTGACTCAGCCTCCAGAAACGCAATCGCACTCCCAACCGTTCCCACAGACACACCACGGAGTGGGCTTCCACAGCCAGTCAAGAATCTTAGGAATCCCCGGGAGCTATTCTCAGAGAAGGACCACACGGCCTGCTGCACAGTGTGCAGGGAACAAGGCCATTTGGAGGCCGTGACCTGCCTTCCGAGTAAGCCTGACAGGGGCATGCAAAGCACCCCAAGAGAGGAGGAAGCACGAGAGCCCAGCAGCAGAGTCCAACAGGCGTGCCAAGTTCTGGCCGCCCCAAGAGAGCGCTGCACTTGTGCTTTCTGGACTCAAGCCCACAGGGGACGGACGCCCCCTGAGCTGGCTTCCACGCTCCTGGCCTGACCCCCTGCCCTCAGCACTGCCCCACAACAGGCACATCCTCCCCCTAGCAGCTGGCTTGCCTGGGAGACCCTGCACCCTGCCTGCCACCCACAGACCAGGACCGATACTGCTGCTGCTGCCTGGAGAACCGGACTAACACAACGAGAAACCCAGACAAAGCTGGAGGAGCAACAGTCTGCAGAAGAGATAGAGGAAAAGGCAAAACAGGACTTTATGAAGACACAGAAGGGAACAGACAGCAACAAAGCCCTCAGGGAACATGCAGCCCGGATGCTGGGCAGGGTCACCTGCAGCAGCCTTCCCGGTGCACGGAGCGAGTGTCCACTCCCATTTCCGACCAAGCATCCATCCACACATCCCCAAAGAAAATGTGTATGAAAAAAGCCATAAACGCAGCATGCCTAAGTCCCACAGCAAGCCTGAAGAGGGTGTCTGTGACCTGACATGCTGCTATGAGGACGGACAGACGTGACTGACCAGGGGCCCCTGTGAAAGTGCACTGCCATCTCCTGTGCAACATCAGTCTCGCAGACACCCTCTTGGCCAGTGCGCACTCTGCTCCGTGCCCTCCCCGACCTCACAGAGCTGTGGCCATGCCTGCCAGCGTCAACCCTGCCACCAGAGAGGTGGACCGCATGCTCATGTTGCGCCCTGGCTCGGGACAGGACTTATTCTCATCACAGTGGCAGGGGAAGGTGGGGTGGTGCATGGCTACTGACTTGCTAATGATATTTTCCAGGGAATCCGGCGCCCTGCCGCTCAAGGGGTCTTCCATCTTGGCTACAATGGCGTTCTGCCGATCATTGTTGAGTATTACTGTAGTCTGGGGGACGACGCTATAGAACAAAAGAATCACAAGAAAAAGAAGACCTTAAAACAACAACATTCATTGTCAGAGCACATCAGTCATTCGTTAACAATCTGTCAGCTCCTAGTTGCCTGCACCCAGGAAGCTGGCCCCAGGGAGAAATCACTTAGTCTAAGACTGGTGGGTTAGAGTTCTTTAGCAGACAGCTTAAATTCTAATTACTGGCGTTCTCAGTTCCTACAACTGCACAAGGTAGGAAAGCCGAGCTGAGGATATCTAGTTTGCGAGGAACAGGCCAAGGCACTCCAAGAGGTCATCTGCAGCAGCAGGTCTGTTTGAAAACCAGCTTCCCTGATCCTCAGCCCCTCCCAACCAATGCCAAGGCACCAAGGACTCGGGCTGCCAGTGCTGGCGGCCTCCCACAGTCAATACTCTGGAGAGAGGCACCAGCCCACTTCGTACCTGCAGCATTCTAGAAAGTGAGGAGACCATGCCAAAGGCCCTAAAGCTTTGTCCCTGGGCACAAAACTGCAGTTCTAAAGGAAGTACCAGTTTGCGTAAACAGGCAGGGCCAAGGCAGCTGACTCCCAACCACAGCTCATTCACAGTTTTCTATCAGTGGTTTGTTTAACCCTTAGCATTTATGGTCACAAGAAATTTCTGGAGTATGCTTTGCAGTGAAAGGCAGAAGGAACCAGTACCTAAAACACAAAGTTGTATTACCTGAGAAGAAAGCACCACTCTGTCTCAGGGAAAAGACTGCTTTTCTGTGGTTTGCACAAGTGAAAAATCCAGCCCAGTACGGCAGCCACGTGACTGTAACTGCCCCATCAGGTGTGAACAAAAATAGCACTTGCATGCCCAAGTCCCTTGTGACCACAGCTGACTTTCCAAAGTGGAAGTGTAATCAAACACAGGTCAAAGGTATGGATTTTTCCGTCATTCAACTTGTTCTTTGGTGACACCTGAAGTAACCCACCAAACCATGATGAATCACCCACAGATCAGGTATCAGAAGTAACCCTGGCTGCTACAATCAGGGCCAGGTTCCAACAATCACTTGCCCATATACGCAGATTAGGAGCCTAAAATGGGCTATGAGTTAGGAATTTACACAATTCTATCAACCTCAAATTTACCAGAGAATAGTTTTTCAAAAATTATGGAACTTCCATGTCGCCTTAAGAATGAAGTAGCTGGAATGTGAGTGTGGCTCAGTGGTGGAGCAATTGCCTAGCATGCACAAGGCCTCGGTTCCATCCTCAACACTGCCAAAAAATAAAAAATAAAAAGAATGAAAGGTGAGTAAGTTATCTAAGGATTGATTCAGAAAGAGTGCCACAATATTATTAAGTGGCAAAAATTAATGAATAGATGTAGATGTGCATGTATGCATGCAAATGTGTCTCAAAGCATTTTCAGGACAGTAGAAAAAATTCTAAAGCCACTGTTACTTTCCTGTAGGGCTGGACTTTTGAACGTGCTGGTACTCTCTCGCCCTGTCACAGGCAAGTGAGGCTCAGGCTGCTGGCACATATCCTCATTTTCACATGTCACTTTCTGGGGTGCCTGAGCTCAGCTAACAAGCCCTAGGGCTGGAACCCTGAGCTGGGTGCTGCCAGACAGCAACCTTGCAGATGGAATTAAAGTCCTCCCTGGTCTGCCTAAGCTCATCAGAAGGAGCTCTGCCTAGGTGGGCCTGGCCTCCACAGGTAGGCACTTTAGAGGAGGACTCCCACCTGCAGGAGTGCAGCCTGCTGCGCCTCCCTGCCAGCTCCCCCCGCAGACTCTACCCGCCCTCAGCACCGCACCACTGTGTAAGCCAGTTCCTTAGAGACACCCTTCATAGGGCTAGCACTCATGCCCCCCCCACACACACAGCACACACATGCACACACACATACAGCCCTCTAGCTGGTTGTGACTGAACCCTGACTCATGTTTTAAAGGAATTTCAGAATGGTGCGGCACATCCTGTGAGCCCTGCCCCCAGCGGTGACATCCTTTGTACCCTGTGCCTCTGCAGCTAAGCATAAAACCATACCCTGGAGGACCCTGCAAGCCTGAGCAGTCTCACCACCTCCTGTGTGCATGCATGTGGGCATGGACAGTGTGTGCCTGTGTGGTCCTGGGAAGCTAGGTCCCACGCACAGGTTTGTGCAGCTGCCACCCCCAGATGCAGAACTACCCCACCACCCCAAGGAGCTATCCCCAGCCCCACACCCAGCCCTGCCCTTTTATCACCAGCCCTCTGTTGACCTTGGGGAATGTGAGCCTTCCGGGTGGGCTTTGTGCTCTCCGAAGGGTGCCCTGGGAGCTGTGTGGTAGTGCGTATCAGTACTGTTTCCACAGCATGAGGCACTGCTTTGTCTCACCACCCACTCACCAAAGGGCACCTCCCAGGTTTGGCCATTACAAACACAGCTGCTGTTAGCTTCTTGGTGCAGATCTGTCTGCTTCGCTGAGATAAATGAGCTCCAAGGGCCCTGGCTGCTGCTTGGGGGCTGCTTTCTATCCCACCAGTGGTGGAGGTCTCTAGTGTCTCCACACCCTCGCCTGCATGGCGCTGGGGCCACTTCTCATCTGAGGCTGGGACAGGGCACTCAGATCTTGCTGGGTTTCTGAGCAACAAGCCCTACTGGCTTGTGACGCTGAGCAGCTGGTACCCGCTATGTGGCACTACAGCTCCTTGCTAATGATAGCTGGCTTGGGATCTGCTTGGTTTCCAGTGGACAGGTGAATATGAGAGTCCTCGCTTTTCCACTGGCTGTGTGCTGACACATGTCTTTTCTCCATTCAAGTTTCTCCATCTATCTGCGCATTGCATCTAAAGAGGGTTTGCCTCACTCTAGGCCCCAAAGACCTTCTGCTCTTTCACCTTAGTGCTGTAGGTTTGCCTCTAGATCTGTGGTGCCTTCCAAGTTAATTCCATACAAAGTAGGTTCCATCAAGGGTACCTTTCTTGCTTTTCTGTGGGGTGTGGCTACATCCGTGCCAGCTGCTAAGAGCTGCCCTTCCTCCCCGAGCTGCTTCTGCACAGGTCAGCTGGGCAGGACTAGTCCTGGGTTCTCTGGTCTATCCCGCCAGTCAGTTAACTGTCCTCCATGGCTTTGCACTTTTAAAAGTCTTTCTTATGATTTCTACCCATTCCTCTCCTCCATCAAGTGAATGTTATCTTACGTTCTGCTTTACACTGTCTCCCCTAGACAAGTGTCCTCTGTCTGCATTGCCCAAGGATGCACCCAAAGTGCTGAGGACACAGATGAAGCCTTCCGCCTTCAACTGTGATGAATTAAACTATAAGTTCCTGCCGGAACTGGATGCTTCTCAATACTCAGGTCCTCGTGCCGAAAGAAAAACAGCTAAAAATCAAGACCAGAGCAGAGGCCTAGGACACAACACCAACTGGACAGAAGGTGAATCAGAATCCAGAGGACACTGAGCTGAAGGAGACCCAAAGTCCTGTGGACTTCCTTCTGCTAGCCCCTAGAGGCTGGCCCATCAGGCACTCCAGCAGGATAGGCAGTGACACTGCTACTTTCTCAAACCTTACGGAGGCCCTGAGGGCTCAGCACTGTCCCAGCTCACTCTCTCATGCTCTGGAGAAGATGCTGTGTTTAGCGGTCTTCCCAGGGACCGGTGACAGAGCCTGTGAAGGAAGCCAGGTGCTCTTGGGTGCCTCACGGTGGAAGCCCGTGCCAGCTGCTGGCCTCTCAGTGTGTGTTTTACCTGCACACTTTGATGGGTTTCAAACAGGTGACCTTCACCTGTCAGAGCAGGTCAGCAGACATCTTCCAAGCTAGGTTTATAGGTGGCCTTCAGCTTCTCCTGAATTCTAGGATGTCTTTGTCTCAAAGTTGTGAGTACCTGTACTGCTGCTTCCTGTTTCACATAGCTGGGGTGGAACCCAGGGCCTCACATATGCTCAGCAAACTCCCTACCCCTGAGCTGTGTCCCCAGCCCTGCCCCCTTTGCTCATCACATACACAAGGGAGACACCAGCTGCGCTCCACGTGTCACTGCAAAGCCAGGACTGCCTGCCAGTCTCAGAGCCTCAATGGGGGAAGAGGGAGGCAGATGAACAACACATCAGGCACCTCAAGTCCACCAGTGCTGCCGCAGCAAGAGGGCCCCCCACCCACACACTGTCCCTTCACAGGCACAGCCCAGCACCGCCCATCACTGTGCTACACCCAGAAGGGCCAGCCACACCCAAGCCAGGAGGTACAAGGCAGACATACCTGCACCAGGAAGGGGAGAGCACGACCCCAAGGCCTCGTAGGATGGCAGACAATGGGGATCGAGCCATGCAGGCTGCTGGGGGGGGTACGTTCACAGTGCCCTGTGGGCATAAGAAAGAGGCACTGCCGCTGCATGGACACACAGCCTAGAGACTCTCCTGCCACTGCATCACTCTGAAGAACCAAACATTGACAAACCTTGTTCTAATTGGTCTCTATTGCCTGCAAGTTAAAAATTAAAAACTCCTAAAACCCAGGATCTTAAAAAAAAAATCTTAGGGTAAAAATAAATTCACAGTAAAATTTTCTTTTCAATATCTAATGAGAGATGCAAAATATCGTATAAAATCACCCTCCCAAATGGCCAACTGCACCAGAGAAAGGGAAATAACTGCATATAACAAATCTCAAAAACAAGCCGCAGGATAAAGGCCCAGGCCCTAGCCCCTTAGGGGCCGCAGGGCATGCCAACAGTCCTCGAGATCCTTCCGCGGAGTCCCAGAGCAGAAGAGCAAGCTGCTCACAGCACATACGTCCTCTCCTCAGGTTGGGTCCATGCTCAAGAGGTCAGCATGTCACCTCGGGCTCCCTCCCCAGCCCATAACCCGCTCTACCCACGAGGAGAGCATGTGACAAATCCCAACAGCCAGACGCCCAGACCAGAATCTCTCAGTCATCGAAAATAAGCAAAATCTGAAAAACTGTCACAGACCAGTGTAGCCTGCAGGACCTACAGCATAAATGCCATTTGGACCTACAGGCATTTAAAAGATACTATGGACCAGGAGTGGTGGGCATACCTGTATTCCCAAGATTTGGGAGGCTAAGCCACGAAGATCACAAGTTTAAGGCCTGCCTGGGCTACCTAGTGAAACACTATGATATACAGGAAACACAGCACTTGCATAGCAAAAGCCTCACAGACCATGGAACGGAGAACTGCCTTGGCCCGAGAAAGAACATCCTGAACAATGTACAACTAGTTCACCCTTGCTACTGAAAGGCTGGAGGCCTTGCCCGGAGATCAGGAGTGAGTAAGCGCTTCAAAGGAGAGGAGCCACTGAAATGAGGCCAAGTACAGACACTTGACAGAAAGAAATACAACTATTAGACGACAACACAGTCATGAACATTTTTAAAAATCCTACAGGACAGCTACTAAAATAAGTGAATTTGGCAGCCAGGGATGTAGCTCAGGGTAGAACGCCTGCCTACCATGTGTGAGGCCACGGGTTCAATCGCAAGCACTTAAAAAAAACTAGAGTGAATGTAGAAGTGATGCATGAACACCAGAGACCGAAGTTTACAAGTGAATCCCAGGGATGATCGCCTCTACAAGCGCAGCGTGCTCAAGAGATCAGCGTGATGAAGCACGCACACAAGCTGTGTCCGAGGACCGTGGAATGGTGCCAAGAAATTGAAATGTGCCTGACTGGAGAGACACGCCACATTCACGGGTCAGAGATGTCCACTCCCTCAGAGTGACCCAGAGTCAACACCGCCGTCAGTGAGGTCGGAGGACGCGGCACGAGGGCAGGACATTAGCCGAGGTCCACTGCCAGCTCTGACTGCTGGGCCGCGTCTCTCCATCACTGGATGATGTCAGCAGCTCCCCAGGCAGCGTGTGCGGGAACTACCCGCTTCCTTGGGTTGGTATTCGGTCGGTACTCAGCTCTGACATGCACAGGGCATCACAATGCAGTCACTCAAAGGCTGCCGCTGTGCAAGGCAGTACAGACTGGCGAGGGAGAGAAATCATGAAGTTCAATGGAAGGAAACGAAATTCAAAATTAGATGCAAGAGAATTAAGGAAGTCTGAAATGGCTCAGACCAAACTATTTCTGTATCACTGAAGCAGCCTTCCTGGAGTCTGGCATGTTCTGAAGCCTACCAAACGCTAGCCTTTTGACTGAGACTATCCATGACCCCAAAGTGAGAACACTAGGCCTGGGGCACCACCCCTAATTCTCAAAGAGAGATGTGTCTACCAAGAAGCCAGAGCACAGACAACAACAAACAAAACAAAAAAGTCTTTCTTCAAAAATCCATCAACATTAAAAACAAGAGTTCCTCTAGGAAGTACGACAGAAAGTCAGCCACCAGCACATCAGAGGGGACCGAACTCATTCTTGGTTCCAGTGCCTTCCCCAAACCTCCTTAAAGTCAAAACCTCTTGGCCCTGCTCAGATCTCAATTTAGGGCATACTTGTGGGAAGAAAGGAAGCGCTGATCCGACAGACCGACAGTCCACTTCCACCGTCCTCAAGTACATTGCTGCCGCTGGACAAAACCCACCCAGGAAATCTCACAAACATTTTTACTACAAAGAGTGGACTCCACCTTCAGAGAAAAGAGGCTTTCTTTTCCTCTCTTCTTGACTATATGTAAAGAATCTTATTCAAGTACAGAGTCTAGAAATCTGGATCTAAAACGCCAACTTAGTAGGCAGGACTCCACTGCCTCCCGTGTTCGGAGGAGTAAGAGGAACCAGGGACTCCTGGCACTGACAGCGCAGTGTGCAGGCCAGCTTTAGGTAGAAACGACCAGCAAGTGGAGTGCATGTCAGTGCACAAAGGGCCTCAGTGTGCCGAGGGCCTCAGCGGTGCGTCCTCCTGGTGTGAGGTCTGGTCACAGCAGCCTCTCCAGACCACAGGCCAGAGGTCCTGCAGGGGCAGCCTCTCTGCATGCGCCAGGGGGCACCTCACCACGGAAAGGCCCAGGCGACATCTCCCGCCTGCAAGACCACACTCAGACTTCCCACAAACCCCTCACAGCAAGTGAGCATCGAGTCCACAGAACTGGAAGTTATTTCTAAGAGCAAATTATTTTGCTATAAAACAATCCCTGACTTATACTCTTGCTTTAATTTAAATATTTGACGCTCAAAATACTTCATAAAAGTATCTAATTACTCAGAACATTAACCAGGTTTTGGGGTTGTTTTTGAGGACTGGTCTATGCTCCACTGTTCTCCCCTTAGACATACAATTCCCGTTCACTTGTGTGTCTACATATGCGTGATTTTCTACTTTAGTTGCACTATATATCATTGATATTCTGGGGTAATGCTCTAACTCCACTCCTTCTTAAAACTTCTAAACAGCAGTTCTCCAAGTGTGGCATGGTCTCCACCGGAGCGCATCAAAGCAGTGCAGCAGACCCCAGCTGTCATCGTCACATCTTCTTTTTGAAGATAAGGAACCTGGCACTGCTGTCGGCTGTGTGACATGGCCCGTGCCATCAGTGTGGCTGTGATGCCTGGAGACCCACACTGCCCCAGAGATGGAATTCCACACCCAAGCCGCTCAAGTCCACCTCCTCCAGCTATGAGCTCCTCCTCACAGAAAGGCCCAACCTGGACCCACGCGGAAGGGAGAGAACGTGCTCTTCCCCAAAGGAGGCCGGCTGTCCAAATGCAGGCACAGCGACTCAGTGCAGGGGCTTCGGGCCCAGGGTGGGGAAAGAGACAGCACTGGAATTTGCTGGGCACAGGCCGGGGGCCAAGACAGCTTTCACCGCCTAAGATCCTCCCGAGCATTCACCTGAGTGGAGAACCGGCTTCCTGGTCTTGGAACCCGCAATCTTACTCCATTCAACCTTCACACAAAAAAATTCAGCAAAGTTTTAATATGACTCAGATGTTCCAGGAACTCAATTATTGCATTAGTGCAGAAAAATTATACTTTGCTTTCTTAGAAACTTCATTAAAGGGCTGGAGCTGGAGCTCAGTGGTAGAGTGCTTGCCTAGCATGCACAAGGCCCTGAGTTCAATCCCCAGTACCACAAAAAAAAATTCATGAAGTCAGGTATAGTGGCACACACCTAAAACCCTAGCACTCTGGAGGCTGAGACAGGAGGATTGATGCAAATTCAAGGCCAGCATGGGCTACAAAGTGAGTTCAAGGCCAGCCTGAACTGCATAGCAAGATCCTATCTCAAAAGACAAAAATATAAAAAAGAAAGTTCATTAAGAACTGCTCCTGTTCTGTACTAGTCCACCAGCAGTCGGTGTCTGCAACCCAAGTGGAAAGGCTGCAGCAGACACCACACGTGCGGCAAGGCACAGGGCTGAGCCTCTGATGGACATCCACATGTGGAAATATTCACTATTTCATGATGCACCACTTTCCTCTTCCTTCTCCTCTGCGTTACAGTAAGAGTTCTCTGTTTTTTTTAAAAAAATCACAAATTGTACTTCCTAAGCACTGGATTTTAGAATAAGCAGGCATTCAAAACAAAATTGCTCTTTTCAAAAAAAGGCACTGGGTCAAACGGGCAGTCCGACAGCCGTGTCTGGAGCGAACACGCGGGCAGCTGTGCGACACAGTGTAGAAGGGTACAGGCCTGTCTCACGGTGGCCACAGAAACCCCCATGTCCTGGCCATAACTGAGATGCTGGCACCCCTCCACCCCCCAGTGGAGGGATGGGCAGGGGCCAGGTGGCACTGCAAATTCCAAGGCCCTGGGGGAGCTGAGCTGCCACTGTGAATCATGCCAGCACAGGAGGTGGCATCAGGAGCTATCCCAGACAAATCGGGACAGGTGGCCCCTTGAAGTTTGGGACATGCCGAAACCAGCCCGCAAAGGGCCCTCCTCTCCCTCCACAGGTCCTCTTCAGGCCCATGCTGCGCCTCACACTCATCTGGGCCCCGGAACACATGGCTGTGTGGCACCAGCAGCCACCACCAACATGGGCAGCAGGGCCTCTGCATGCCCCCAGCCTTCCTGCGGCTCCCACTGCCACCCAACCCACAGGAGACAGCCCTCAAAAAAGGCTTCAAGAGCGCAAGTACAAAGGCACATTTTAAGCCCCTGACACAAATGTGACTTCTTCATAGCCAGTTGTGGGAAAGGATAAATAAGCCACAGGACTTGTGATCACTGTTGCCCAGAGCTTGAGTGTGTCTCAATGCATGCTGCCTTGGCCCACGGCAGTGATGGAAACCTTTCAGAGATCACGTGCCCAAACTGCAACCTAAAACCCACTTACTTATCGCAAAGTACCAACACTGCAATTAAACCTGAACCCTGGGGTTTTTAGTTTAGAAAAACAACTGTTATCCGATGCTCTGCTGCTGGGGCAACCGGGCTCACGTGCCACCAGAGAGGGAGGGCTCTGCATGCCTGCTGTGGCATGCGTCCACAGATATAGCACCACTGGCCTGTGGGGTACGAAAGTGGCCAAAGACTTTCTGGAACATCTTTCCAATCTAACTAAAATGTTCGTAAAGCTTCAGATGCTCTCTACAAGGCTTTAAATATTTTTTTTTAAATAGACATGATAAAAGCTATAGACTTGAGTGGAAAGTCTGATAGCTCCAGTGAAATTTATAAACACCACATTTGAAGAAAAACATCTAAAGACCAGCCAGACAGGGGTGGGAAGAGAAAAGCAGCAAATGCCTATCTGCTCAGGTCCAGGGGTTAGGTGCACGGAAGAGGTATGGTCTGGCTTCCGTCGGAAAGCAACATAGGAACAAGCTCAGGTTGCTCCAGGCGGAGCCCCATTCCATCTGGTCACACTGGAGTCAGCACGCAGTGTCTACAGCAGACGAGTGACAGCAAGGGCACGGGGAAGGACCTGAGTGCTCCTCCCGCAGTGGCCGCCGTGCCTCTGTCCTTACCATCGCACTTTGTTGCAGGTCTGGGTGGCGCCGAGCGGGGAGCCTGCCACCATGGGGACCTGGATGGGGCTGTGCTGCTTGTTGGTGACCAAGTCCAGCTTCTCTTCCAAGGACTTGCATGTGGCCTCCAGAGCTTGCAGCTTGGCCTCAATGCTATCCAACCGTAAGCATATTGTCTGGTTAATGGAGTACAGGAAAGACTGGAAGGGAAACAGAGACAAGCTTCAGAAAGGACTCCTCAACGGTGAGAGGACACTTCCAAGCTGCCCAACAGCACCTCCCTGACTTGGGCATCCCGCACTGCGACCAGCAATTCGCTTGCAGCCAGTAGCAAACACACTTGCAAAGTGCAAGCGTGTATCCTCACTCTGGGTCACCTCCCTGGGTCACCACTCCAGCTATGCTCGAGTCCACAGGATAAACAGCTCCAGTCTTTGACATGTTATAGAATCAATCACTGAACCCACACCTAAGCTAGGTAATCATCCTAACAATAAAAACACACTACAGCTAACATCTAAACAGCCTAGAAATCACAGATCCTGCATGTCTGCATCATGTTGACTGCCCAAAAGTGATGACTGACCGGTAGGCTGGCGTGGCTTTGAAGTCTGGCAGGCCGCTAAGTGAGCTCTGAATAGCAAGCTTGCCACCTAGTGGCCAGCAGGAGAAGCAGCCCTGTCTAATCACCACTTGGTCCAGACCCTAGGAGTTCCTTGCATTGGCATACGTGCAGGCCTCTAAGCCCAAAAAGGGATTAAACGTATAGCCCAGACGGAAGGAGGGGCTTCCCCTACCCAAGGGCCTCTCCTGCTGGAGCCACCAGGGACATGTAGGTCCACCCAAGAGCCACTCCTCCCAGGGCCACAAGAGCAGACTGGACTCACGTTCATCCAAAAGGAATTTACAGGTAGAACAAGAAGGGCCTTGCCACATGAAGCTAAGGCTGCAGGTGGTGGCCCTTGTCCCTGGTGTTAGGGTCTTGTGACTTCCTGGCCTTCCACCCTGAGGCACTGAGGTGTCTGTGGCTACTCTGTGAATGGAAGCCATCCCAGGCGTCACAAGATCTACACTGTGACTGTCCTCACCCTAAGTATTACAATTCACTGTTGGAGTTTAGCAATGCAGTTTATGTTGTATTTGAACTTGGTCAGTAGTCTAATGTGGAAGTGGGTGCTCTAACCCTGTGCACCCTGGGTAATTTGTTTCTCTGCCCAAATGCAGACACACACCCCTTCATCCACAGTAGTGTCTGCTGGGTCTGAGCTGTGAGTGGCGGGACCTGCTGCCTCTTTTACTGTGTACTTCTGACAGCTTCCTTGTGGCATATTTGTTCACTTAATTGCTTCTGGGAAAAGACACTTCCATGTAATCCACGCTTTCACTTTAATTTTTTTAAAAGAATGCTTTTCACCTTTGAAAAAATTTAGTTTGTTTTGTATATATGAACTTTTTTTAATTAAATGAGTAAATTCAGCATTACTCACCAAAAAAGGAAAAGAAAAAGAATCTGCTGTGCAGCAGAGGCCCCAGCACCAAAGCCTGGTGCTGCCAGGGGCAGGCTGGTGGGACAGCAGGTGGCTGTTAGGCTGGCACGTGGCATGCCTCAGAACCCGAAGGTAATGAAGACCCTCAAGGACTCGTGCTTTGCCTCTTCCTTCTCCTCTTCTGCCGTGACAGGACACATCAGAATGAAGGAGACTGGCTCGGGAAGCAGAGGCGGGGACCCCAGGGCCCAGGCGCCATCCGGCGCGCCTCCTATCCAGGCTGAGGGTCACAGACCCTGAGACCAAGGCGCATCACGTGCTACCTCACGTACCTGCACCAAGCCCGGGTGCCGGTGCAGCACAGACAGCGGGTTCCCCCGGAGACCCAGACCCTCCCCAGGCTGCGGGGCTGTCAGGAGCAGCACCGTGGTAACAACGCAAGCGCTGTCCAGACACTTTTCTACTCCCTCGGCCATCACTTGCCCTCACGCACCCCCAGGTGTGCTGCCCCAGAGGAGGGCTACAAAGCCGGTTACCTGCACCCTCACTGCAGCACGGCACTGAAGCAGTGCACAGAGATCACCCACAAGCATCAGGGTGGCCCAGCCCACCGCCCCACCACTCCGCAGGGCGGACCACACAGGCAGTGTCACGGGCACAGCAAATGACCGTCCTGGGCACTAACTGATGGCTGAGCCCAGACAGGAGGCCACAGCAGACTCTTGAATTCTTTAAACATAGCAAAAGTGTATTAATCTGGGTAAGAAAGGACTGTGAGCTGGGCGTGGTGGCACACACCTGTACTTCGGAGGCTGAGGCAGGAGGACCGCTATGAGTTCAAGGATAGCCTGGGCTATAAAGTGAGTTCACTGCCAACCTGAACTGCATAGTGAAACTCTGTCTCAAAAAGACACCCCTGCCAAGAAAGAAAGGACTTTGCCCGGGCTTTGGGTGAAATCACTGTTACCTACTAATAAAACACCCTCCTGAATAGATGAACACTGAAGAAAGGGTGGGAGGTGGTTTTAAATGATTCTCTCATGCTCAGGCAGTAGTGCCATGAATAGCTCAAACCTGCTCAGCAGACCTGCATGTGGCAATAGGCACCTCCAATGCATGGGACTCCAATGCATGCGGGGTCCAGGCCCCAGCCTCACTACGGTGTCACCAGAACTGAACAGCTACTTCCTCTCTACTTCTTATGTTTCCATGCTGTTTACTACGGAAGTGTCTTGGATAAAATTACAACTGCACTTTATTTTAAAATGTGACCGTGTGGAGGTCCTGTAAATATACTGTTATATTGCACACTTAGGCTTACACTGCTCTGTCCTTGCCAACAGATGTCCGCTAAACAGGCGGTGTATGAAAAGAGGACAGTTCCGTTCACTTTAGTCTTGAAGATGTCTCTCGTGTATGACTATTACCTCTTACTCTGCAGACACTGGAACCAAACAAGGAAATTCAAAGCTCCAAAGACAATTCAGCAGCTTGGTGAGAGGGTCTGAGAATCCCAGCTAGCGAGCTGCAGGGTCTAGGGGCTCAGATGGCAGGCAAGAAACAATCTGATGCTCCCGGCACCCGGCCACAGTGACTGCTCACCCTCTGCCCACCCACGGCAGCCTCTGGCCCACAGGAGGGCAGCGTCACAGTCAGCACTGCTCACTCCTCACACTCCAGAGGAACGTGGCCTCAGGCACTTACATCTTCAGGTGGCTCCCAGAACCCAGGAGGGAGCTGCATCTGAAGGGCTCCCGAGGTGTGATCAAGCCAGTGAGCTCACCCTGGCCCGGAGCGGGGGACCTGGACAAAACCGCAGGGGTATGGCCTAGAATATCTGGAGCCACCAAGAGCTGAAAGAGGCAAAGAAGGACCTCCCTGCAGCCTCTGGAGGTGGGGTGGCCTCGTCCACATCTTGTCCCTGGAGTTCTGGGCTCCAGAACTGGGAGAGAATAAATTTTGGCTGCTTTAGGCCTTCCAGTTCATGGTAGAAAACTCAGTACAGTGCGCATAAACACCATTTTGTTTTTACCTTTATAGAGGGATCCTGACAGTTGATTTCTAGTCTCTGGCGTTTCAAACTAGGCTCATCTTCATCTGTTACCACATGATTCTCCAAAACAACTGAAAATCAGTGACAGAGACAAACAATTAAACATGGCAAGTTCCACAGAATTCTTTCAACATGAACATAATTACCTCAAGGTTAAATGACAAATGGCACAGCCTACCTCATATTTTACATTAAATTTAAAATTAAAATTCGTAACAGCCCAAACACCCATCAACTGGTGAATGGATAAAGATATGGGTTTTTTTATACAATGGAGAACTACTCTGCCATAAAGAAGGATACGCTTGAGACATTTCTCCGTAAATGGTCGCACCTTGAGACCATACGCTTAAGTGAAATAAATTGGACACACATGTGTAAATACCACATTGTTTCTCCACTGTGAGAAACTGAAAGTGTAAATAAGGACCAAAATGTGTAACAGGTATTGTGAGGTAGAAGAAAATGTTCAAATGGGGAGGGAAACAAGGAAGGGAGGAGTGAGAAAGGAAAGAAGGGAAAAGTAAAATGAGGCAGAGAAAAAATCAAAACAAAGCCTTTCGTAAATGGGGAGGGGAGGAGAGGTTGCAGGGAGGGTATGAGGATGGGGAATAACAATCAAGTTATATCAATAAAAATCAAGTTATATCATACAGGACAAATTCCCTATGGTGAATGTGATCATTATGTGTATGTAAAATGTACCAATAAAACCTGATTTTAAAAAAAAAAAATTCACAGGCAAAAAGGAGAAGCCCTCTTTAAGCCCTAAAAAACTGGCTGTCAGCTATTTTTCTTTTTTTGTTGTTTTTTGAGACAGGGTCTCACTATGTAACCCAGGCTGACCTCAAACTCAGCAATCTTCCTGCCTCAGCCTCCCGAGTGCTAGATTACAGGCATGCACCACACCCAGCTTTTTCCCACTTTAAAATCCAGTCTGTCTACTGTGACCCCACTGTGATATCCAGTGCACTCTCTGCACATCACACTGGCTCAGGATCCAAATCGGCTCCACCTCCACAAGCTGCCACGCAGAGCCCACCCCATGGCTCCACAGTGTGCATCGGGCAAAGGGGAGGCTGCCCTCCACTGCTCCACGGCTCTCCACAGGCCCCCATGTGCACCACAGCCCACCTCCAGGCCTGCCACCGGTTCAGCCCACCCTCCTTCCTCTCTCATCTAAAACTGCCTACAAAACACTATTAAAGATAACCACAGATGCAAACCTGAGATCATCATGATCGCTCAGGTCTGCAATCCAAGTTTCTACTCCTCTGTGACACTGCCATCCCCGTCCCCAGACCTAGTCAGTCCATCTTTAAAAACTTACATATTTATAACACAGATGAAGTTTATACTCAGCATTGTTTTAAACTTCACACCATGAATATTTTTTATTTCCAAACAGTATCAGATGGCTGCGCTTGCTTCGGCAGCACATATACCAAACAGTATCAGTTTTTCTCCCCATCTCCTCGCCTGAAATACCCAACACTGACTCAACGCCAGACACATTCTCCGCACATGCTCTCCTGCAAGGGAGGGCAGGGCCTCTGTGCCACAGCCTCCTCTGCACCCTCCTCTCCCCTAGCTGTCCGCGGCAGCTGTCTCGGTTCCTGACGGTAACCACTTTGTAACAGAAATGAGTGTCACCATGCAGCACATACTCTACACATGCACACATGTAGTATGCATGTTCAGATGCATACACAGCAGCATGTTCACTTCTGGTAGGAAAAGAGAGAAAAACAATGTGCACGAGCAGGAAGCAACCTACAGTACACATGTACCAGGGCAAAGCAAACCATCTCCTCACTGTTCACTATATGCCATCACAAACTGGCTGGAAAGAGATTAAAGTGACAATCCCAAGTCAGCCAAGTAAGTACAACACACAATGCATGCAAAAATCAGAGGATTTTTGTTTTAAATGGAAACAAGAAAAATCTAGGAGAATATACATGCAGCTATGTTGCTAGAATTACAGGAAATTCTTATTGCTTCTCTCTTTTTTGTGTTTTTTAAAAAAGGGTCTTGCAGCCAGTCATGGTGGCACACAGCTGTAATCACAACACTCGGGAGGCTGAGGCAGGAGGATCGTTGGGAGTTTGAGACCAACCTGGGCTACAAAGTGAGCTCAAGGCCAGCCTAAACTACATAAAGAGATCCTGTCTCAAAAAGACAAAAAAAGAAAAGAAAAGAAAGGAAGGAAGGAAGAAAAGGGGCTGGAGATATTGCTCAGTGGCACAAGCCCCTGCCTAGCAAGCACAAGGTCCTGAGTTTGATTCCCAGTACCAAAAAAAAAGGAAAAGAAAGGAAGGAAGGGTTTTGCTATATAGTCCAGGCTGGCCTTGAACTGTGTGGTCTTGTTGAACTCATGGCAATCCTCCTGCCTCAGCCTCCTGAGTGCTGGGATTACAGGCATGTGCTACTGTGCCTGGCCAGTATTGCTTCTTTTTGGCTCTATTTTTTTTTTAACTTTTTGATAATTTGAGCAATAGAAAACTAATACAACATACCAAGTGCTGAATCAATCCAACCTATATGTTATATACAGACAGGCATGAGAAAATAATGTGAAATATATGTCACAAGATAATTTGCAACCTATTAGGAAAATATACGAACCAGCAATGCCTGGGAAAGCCATGTGAAGTAACACGCAAGAGGCATACGGCGTCTTACTATAACCGCTTCTCATACTCCCAAGCATACCTAGATGACACCTCCAAGCCTGAAGTGAGGTCAGGGCACTCACGGGGCCGGGGCACATGAACTAAGGGGAGTGCACTCAGGGTAGCCCTAAAGATCCCCCCCACACACCCTCACGTCCTCTCCACCTCCTGCAGCTGGGCTCTGGTGCCAGGAGGCTGAAGACAGCATCCTCTCACTGCCCAGCCCTGTGGGGCCAGAGCCGAGCAGGCCCTCAGCGCACACCTTGCCCACTGAAACCTCACTGGACTGCCCAGGCCATCCAATGAGTGCAACGACACTGTGAAACTTTACAGGGCTGATATTTCACGTAAGGGAAACATCTTAACCTTAGACCCACTACACTGAGACACATAAGGTGCTCCACTTTCCTTTCAGTTAAGCAGTAGTCCAGGGCAGAGTCACAGACCAGGGAAGAGTCACAGACAGCAAGGCGAGGAGCTGGGCGGACCTCAGAGGGTACTGACACAGCAGGTTTTCATTAACACTGTTCATACTCCATGATTTGAATTTTCATGCAGAGCATGCATAATTACTTCTGCTTAATCCTATGTTTGTATGTTTATCTGTCTGTAAGAGCGTCTCACTGTGTTCTAGGCTGGCCTCAAACTCACAATCCACTCAGCCTCCTAGAGCACCACTGCCCTGGACTACTGCTTAACTGAAAGGAAAGCAAGTACTGCGGTGGCTTTGGCTTTGGCTTTGAAGGGGTAAGACAATAACAGTTCACCTACTGTCCCACAGCTCTGTACCTGGGTGGTCAGGACTCAGGTCTTCCACTGCAATCTGAACCACATCCGCCAGGTCCTGTTCTGACATCATCCAGAATGCGAGAAGAGGGGCCAGCCAAGGAGCAAGAGTCCAGTCTACACAGGGCCACGGTGGCTGTCACCTTCCAAAGCCAAGAGAAAGGAGGGGAAAATTAATACAGAGGGACACGTGAGATGACAAAAACAACTAACATGCACATATTCAAAAGGAATGCTTTGGGCTGAGGATACAGCTCAGTGGTATAAGCGCCTGCCTGGCAAGTGCAAGGTCATGAGTTCGATCCCCAGCAGCCCACCCCCCCAAAAAAAGAGGAATGCTTTCGCACAGGGCTCCTCTTGCCCTAGACACCAAAGGCTGGTGTTCTCTGAGCACAAGAGCCTGTTTCCTTAGTGACTTGCAACAGCCCCATCTGACAGCCTCTCCAGTTCCATCCCACCCCTCAGACACCTCCAACATCACCGCCCCAGCCTGAAGTGCGGTTCCAGGGAACAGCGTGAACCTAGCATCCACCATGCCCCAGCTTCAATCCCCAGCACCACACATATGCAGAAAGGCAAGTTCGCTCCCTAAAATGGACTCAGAAACCTCATCCCTGTGCCCAAAGCCGCCATGGAGCCCCAGGTGCAGACAGCAAATATCCTGTCAGTACCTGCTCCCCAAGGGGTCTCACTCCTGCTAGGATCTCCACATCCCAGCCATGTGGCACCACTGTTCCCCAATGACACACACCCATATGCACAGTATCCACAAGCAGAGCCTTCTGCAACCTTCTTCTTAGTTGTTTCAACACTTTGATTTGGTCTTGAAAGATCTTATTTTCCAAAATATAACGGGGCCACGTCCTTCAAACTATAGTCTCTTAGCACACAGATCTGTACAATTAATTTCAGAAAGTCTAAATTAAAGAGGAAAAAAACCCACAATAATTTCTTAACAAAAAACAAAATGAGCAAATAAAGAAAAGTTTAAGAATAAAATAAATGAAAAAGATGAGAAGAGTTCAAGAAAAAGTAGCACAGTTGGGCTTGGTGGTGCACACCTGTAATCTCAGCACGCAGGAGACTAAGGCAGAAGGATCACTGCAAGTTTGAGGCCAGACTAGGCTACAGAGTGCCCAGTGTATTATACAGCAAGATCCTGTCTCAAAAAAAAAAAAAAAAAAGAAAAGAAAAGGAAGGAAGGAAGGAAGGAAGGAAGAAAGAAAAAAGAAAAAGAAGCACTGACGGAAGATCCAACACCCATAAAACAGGAGAATCTGAAGGCAAAAAGCTGAAACAATGGAATACTAAAAACAAACTCAAGAAACCTCTTCTGAGTCTGGAGTGTAGCTCAGTGGTAGAGCACTTATGTAACTGGTATGAGGCCCTAGGTTCAACCCCCAGCAAAGAAGGAGGAAGGAAGGCAGGGGAAAGGGAGAGAGAGGGAAAGAAAGAAAGAGAGAGAAAAAAAGGGAGGGAGGGAAGGAGGGAGGGAGGGAGGGAGGGAGAAAGGAAGGAAGGGGAAGTGAGGGAGGGAGTTAGGAAGGAACAAACTTCAAGCAAACAGAATCACTGAAGACACCATAAAGAGCGTAGGTGGCAGGCATTCTACAGTCACACACAGTGCAGCAGAGCGGGCACTATGAAGGGCACGGTAGTACGAAACGGCTCTAACTCTGACACAGATACGCTGTCCACATTTAAAAGAGGGAGAAAGCACACATACCAACAATTTCCAGTAATCACATGGAGCAGTGAGTAAGGTTGGAAGTCCCTTCTGAGACTGCTTTGTGGGTAAAATAAGTATTTACAAGGTATGATCAGCGAATACGGCAAAATGTTTAAATTCTTTAAAATTTATTACAGTAAAAAACACAATACCATTTATCCTTCTCAAAATATTCCCGCTTGCTTCGAACATACTTATCCCATTGTTCTTGCCACTTTCTCAGGCAGTTCTAGAATTCTTCTTTCACAACTGTCTTTAACTATGCTGTCATGGCCATCTTGATGTCCTGAATCCATTCAAAACATTTACTTTTCATGGTCATTCTGACTTTGAGGAAAAGCCAGAAGTCACATGGTTCTAGACCCAGTCAGGGAGGCAGATGAGGACATACCATAATGCTTTTACTTACAAGTAATTACTGTAAACACTTGATCAATGAAAGATGATCAAAAATACAGTGAATGTTTAAATAAAAAAATGTATTACAAGGTGAGATGTGGTGGCACACACCTGTAATCCCAGTACTCGGGAGACTGAGGCAGGAGGATCACTGTGAGTCTGGGGCTAGGCTGGGCTACAAAGTGAGTTCAAGGCCAGTCTGAACTTTATAGTGAAACCCTGTCTTAAAAAAGACCCCCCCAAAAAATTACACTAGAAGACATCTCGTCATTGATTCCCCTCAAAATATTCCCCCTCACTTCACACACACTTGTTTCATCATTCTTGGCAATGTGTTTAATTTAAATAGTCACTGTATTTTTCAATCATCCTGTGTATAGTGATTCTAATGCTATCATTCCAGATGTCTTTTAGAACATGAAAGGCAGATACAGACATCAGAAACAAGAGTCTAGTAAACATCTAGGGGCTACAATATTGATTTGACTTCAAAGTGTAAACCTGCATAGTGACAAAAACAGCATGGTACCGGCACAAAAACAGGCATGTAGGTCAATGGAACACAACAGAAAAAGCAGGAACCACCTCGGGCACAGTCAGCTATTTGATCTTTGACAAAGGGGCCAAAAACATACACTGGAGGAAAGAGAGCCTCTTTAATAAAGGGTGCTGGGAAAACTGACTGTTTATGTGCTATCTAGAAGACTGAGTCTAGACCCGTATCTTTTTTTTTGGTACCAGGCATCAAACTTAGGACCTTGTGCTTGCCAGGCAGGCACGTGTGCCACTGAGCTATCTCCTCAGCAAGACCCATATCTTTCACTGTGTACTAAACTAAAATCAAAATGGATCAAAGATCTAAACATTAAAACAGAAACAAGCTGGTGGAAGAC